TTATACGTATCATAATTTTTAGCTCTACATTGTTATTATTGTATTCATTATTCTATCATATTACGATTACAAAATAACGATCAATTAAAACGTCATCCACATCAAATTTATAGTAATAAGTTTATACAAATTTATACTACAATTTATTAATAATTACATTAATAAATATATAAGGTTTTTTTAAATAACATGTACATTAAAAATATTAATTCATAATTCGTGTAAAATATCGATATATCGATCGGTGGTCAAAATCAAAGACATCTAGTTATAGAATATGGATATATTACACACACAAATAACTATTGTTACTGTGATATAATGTAATTTGTAACTGTGAATGAAAAAAACATTCTTAATATTCTCAATATACTATAACATAATTTTTCTTTATTTAAATATAGTGCAGACAAGATATTATTTCATAATTTTATTACCAACTACAAGATTTGTCTAAACACGTGTTAAAGTATCTTAAATTGTAAGCTGTTTTTGAAACATTACAAAATAGATATAATAATAGAGATTTAATAATACAGGATACTGACGTTCACAATAACTTAATAATTATTTAAAAAGCATAACTTTTATTATATATAAAAATAATTCACAAAATGTTTCCTTTTAATCGTGCTTGAAAGTAATCTCCATCTCCTTTGGTGGCTTGTCTGTTTATTTCCTTATGACGTTCTCGGCTAACAATTTCTTCTATTATTTCACCTTCTCCTTTAATTAATCTGAAAAATTGTTATTATAATTCTATAGAATAAACAAAATTATGTATATGCACCATTGCGTAGATATACTATTACCTATATCTTCCTGTTTCATCATCGTATACCCTGCGTATCAAACTTTGTTTTTTTTCCCATTCTTCTTTTGTAATAGGAGCCATTAGTTTGGCTCTCTCTGACAAATCAGGTGGAATTTCTGCAGCAGTATCCTTAGTTTTTTCGGAAGTACGTTTTTTACTTTCAGTAGTCGACGACTTTTTCAACTTCTTCTTTGAATTTTTCTTCAACTTCCTCTTCTTCCTATGCTTCTTTACATTTTTTTTAACTCTTTTAGCTTTTTTTTTCTGTTTTTGACGTTTTCTTTCATCTTCGGAAGAATCAGAACTGCTGGTACTATTAGTACTGCTGCTGCTACTACTACTGGTACTACTGGTACTGCTGGTACTGCTACTAACACTGCTAGTACTACTTGTACTGGATGAACTGGAAGAAGAGGATGATCTTCTTTTCCTCTTTTTTTGAGTACGATGATCAGACTTTCTCTCCAAACAATCTGCTTTCCTTTTCTCTCTAATCTTTGTATGCGAAGGATCTACATTGGTTTTTATATTATGTATTTTGTCTATTTTTAATGAACATTTATCTTGTTTGGAACTACTGTCTCTAGAATTACTTTCTCCCACAAATTGATTAGATGCATCCTTGTTTGAATTCCTGTGATAATCAATATTTTGATCTTGATTATTCCGTGATCTATTGTAATTAGGTATTCTATTATTGTAATGCGTATAATAATTCCTCCCCTCATTATTACGCCTGTAGTATTGGTAATTGTTATACGGCATTCTTCTATTTCTATTATAAAATCTTCCATATTTATATGATCCTCTCATAGTTGTATTACCGCGTTCCCTGAAATTATGTGATGGCATATTGTAATTCCTTAAACTTTTATAATTGTTTACAGACCTGTCCATTCTTTGCAGTGCAATTCCATTTTTATATTCTTTAAATGTACGCTCATCGCAATCTTTTTTTTTTTTCTTAATTTTTTGCAATTTAGCCTCGTGGCTGGAAGTACTGGAAGAACTGGAACTACTCGAGCTACTTCTACGTCTTGACTTCTTCCTTTTATCTTTACTGCACGCGCTTCTTCTCTTTAACTTGCTGTCAGATTCATCGCTGTTAATAGATTGCGCCTGTTCCTTCATTCTGTGTCGTTTACTTCTCGAACTTCTCTCGCATTTAGTTTCATTACTTTCTCTGCCGCTCATAGTGAATTTATAAAAATAAATATATGAATATATTAAGCCTTTATATATTGTCCTTATAAGCCATATATTCTTCTTTAAAATCGTTATACCGTTAATTATACTTTTGGTAATATTATTACAAAACAGATATATTTATCCTGCTTCCATATTCACTTTTATTCAGTTAGTTATTGAATTTTTACGAACTATTTTTAATATGTTTTATTGTATATGCAATTGTTTAATGATCTACATGTAATTGAAATAACAGAAGTATTCAATTAATTACAATTTATTTGTAATTACACTCACAACTTTTACTCATACCGATCATTAACCTCTCTTTTTAATTATCAAACTTAATAACTTTAGGAAATAAAACTTTAACATAAAATGTCGCAGTCGAACGATTGGATTATTTAAGTATTTCTGCATGGATGTAACATGAAAAGTTCAACCGACTTTATCGTTCTCAATTTCGAAAACTGAAGCGAGATTAAAGGCAACCCCTCATGTTTGTGTACACTGATAGTGGGCCATCTATATTTTACTATAACAGAGGTTTCCATCGAAAAAACTATTTAACATAATAATAAACGTTGATAGACAATAAAAGAATTATATTTATTCCATATGTCTCTATGTATATTCATATATTAATATTTATATTGCAGCATAAAAAACACACATTTAATATTAAGATTTTTAATGAAAAAAATGTGTGTGCAAACTTTTAAGCAATCATTTGTTTTTCATTTTTCTTTAATTACTATCATTGTCAATGTGTGACAAATATTTACGGTTTAAATCTAAAGTTTCATTTAAATGAATCTTCTGAGAAAATTTAATATAAAAATAATGAAAAATACAAAATATGAGTGAAATTACGCTTGTTAACGTATGAAAATATAATTTTTGATAAAAAAAATGGCATCAGCAGCGCCAAGATGTTTTTGTAAGGACAAAGTTAGTTTGTATTAAATCATTATAATAATTATTTATGAAATAATTAATTGCACATTTATAAAAATATATTGCAGATAAGTGAGAAATTCACCGATCTCTATGCAGCACCGTCTCTCGAATTAAGAAAAATTATAGAAGCACTCAGTGTGCCTGGAAAAGGTTTATTGGCTAGCGACGAATCACCCATGAGTTTAAATGATAGATTTGAAGAAATTGGAATAGAAAATACAGAAGATTCCCGACGAGAATATCGACAAATGTTATTCTCTGCTTATAAGGTAAATCAGTTATTTAGGATAAACAAGGGTTTATCAATAAAGACGATTCCTACAATCGTAGCCCGAATTAACGAAATATATAAGTGGAATTATCTTGCATCATGAAACACTTTACCAAAAAACAACCGACGGCATCAGTTTCGCCGAGTTTCTTCAACAAAGAAACATCGTACCTGGTATTAAAGTGGACAAAGGCCTAATTGATCTATTTGGTACCGAAAAGGAATTGACAACAGAAGGCTTGGACAATTTGAAGGAAAGATGTATGCAATACAAGCGCGAAGGTTGCCACTTTACCAAGTGGAGATGCGTTTATTCAATTTCAGAAACGAAACCGAGTCGACTGCTTATGTCGGTAAATGCGAACACGCTTGCGAGGTAAATTGCATTCATTAAATATACATGTAACATATGTAATTATTAAATGCACAATATGTAATACTTATAGATTATCTCAAATATAACCGATTTTTGTATTCTATTAGGTATGCAACTATATGTCAAAGTGCCCGTTTAGTACCAATCGTGGAACCAGAAATATTAACTATTGGAGAACATAGTATAGAAAAAGCTTTACAAATTCACGAGCAGGTATTGTCCATTTTGTTTAGAGCTTTGAACGAGCACAGAGTTTATTTGGAGGGAATGATTCTCAAACCGGCAATGGTATTACCGGGTGTTAAAAATATCAAAAACTATACGCCGCAAGTCAGTTGATACGTATAAATGTGAACTAGTCATGTTATTCTGGAATTATTAACTGATAAATCTTAAATATCAATTCATTTATTTTTAGATTGTAGCTGAATACACATTGAAAGCGTTAAAAAGGACGGTGCCTCCGGCCGTACCAACGATTTTATTTTTAAGCAATGGGCAAACCGACGAGGACTCGATATTAAATTTAAACGCGATAAATACGTTTGAAGGAAAAAAACCATGGACTTTGAGTTTCTGTTATGGCCGCTGCTTACAAGTACTTAGCTAACTATCAAATCTTTCTCTTACGTTTGTTAGAATTTTATGATAATATATTTACGTATTTAATTAAATAAAGTATGAAGCTATGAAAACTTGGAAAGGAAACGTAGCAAACGTGGAAGCAGCACACTCGGTATTACTGGGAAGAGCTAAATTATGCTCCGAGGCGTCACTTGGAAAATTAGACATACAAAGCGTGCTCGCAAAAAATATTTCATAATTACGAATAATCGAAAATAATAACGTATAAATGTTGACGAAATTATTGGACCGATTAAATTAAATTATCGGGCGCGTGCAATTTTATCATAGCGTTATTTTTACAACGTAAGAAAAATATATTTACGTTTTAAATAAGAAAAACAGTCAACGGTTATCGGAATGGCCTGTCTTTTGATACGCAAACTCCACTTATTGGCTTTAATAATCGGAATAATGATATTTCGTGTTTAGGTTCTCAACATGAATGTGAATTATTTTATTTGTTGATCCAAAATCTTTGAGAATATTTAAGAGATCTTGCATAATAGTGCATTAATCTTGACAGTGAAAAAATGTCAAAAATTTGAAGTTAGAATGTCAAAAGAAGGTGCCCTTAGTTGACCTTTAAAGCGAAGGTTCTCAATAAAACGTGACTGGGTACGTGGATGATTCGTCGATTGTACGCTACGTGCCAGTTGAATCGTATCACGCTGAACGGACTACATATTATTCTTTTATTGGTCAATATGTCGTCATTCCCACGGAATTCCACCAATGAGAACACTTATTAGATGTTTCCTCGAATTAAACCGATCACATGATACCATTCGAAATTTCAAAATAATTTTGTCATTTCTTTTTTTTGTTAAATAAAAATATGTATTTAGGATATACTTTTTTAAAAGGTTACACTTGAAAATACTAGTAGGTGTAAAAATAAATTTGGTGCTTTATAATTTTGTATATTTATTTAGTATTTATTTAGTATTTATTTAGTATTTATTTATAGCATCGAATTAATTTTCACACCTAATGCAACAAGATATAATATTATATTTATTTTGAGAAAAAATGTTAGGTTGAGCACCGCGAAACAGCGCGCATTCCCGCGCACGCGCGAATAATGCTCCACAGGGCTTTGAAATCGCCGTGTTCCTTTGCTTTCCTCAGTTGCTCTTAAATCCACCGGTCGAGGAGTTTGTTAGAATAACGTTTGTGCATATTTTCGATAACGACAGTCAAATCCATCTCGATAATAGGTAAGTCGAACTTGTATCGGAATTATTGAATAAACGCTTATTACTGATTACCTCGACCAATCGATATCCACGATTTAATGCGAGAATAAAAGATCATTTAAATAATGGCTAACGCTACGAACATTTGACCTTGACTGACATTCGAATGACATTCGGCCGCCACCCAATTTTATCGTATTCTTCAACTGAAGTAATTATGACAACGTGAATTATTCGCAACGTTCTGTCTACTGATATCGATTTAACGTTAGTCTTAAATAATCTTTTTTTCCAGTAAGCAGCTGACAGATCCCAGTGTAAAAATAAAAAACTTTGATCGTACGATTAATACATTTTTACAGAAATAACCATAAAAGCGTTGTTCTTAGTGTTCGTTGTGTAATAATTATGTATAATTATATTTTGTCTTAGAAAATTGTCATACGAAAACTAACCTTAATTGAAAACGAAATAGATAAATCGATCTTTACTTTTTGGACAATCGATGATGACCTTAAAATAAAAAAAGATGCGTAGTAGTAAGTCAATCCGAAGTACATAGTTCTTAGAATGGAACAATATATATATGTATATATATATATATACAATATATATATATATACATATGTTTGAAATTTTATTTAAAGGTAATGGACGATATTAAACAAATAGTGAAACTTGGCCAAGAAATAAAACGTTGAGTGATGCCAACTTTTTTATTCGATATAGTAATAAATCCATCTTATAGATAATAGCATTCCGTAATCATATTATAAAAGTAATAAATAAGATTGTTGCAACAGGGCTTGAGGTAGAAACAGCTTATGCGAGTGCAAGCACGTTTAACACACGTGATTCACGAATGTGTCATTTTTTGAACTACTAATCCGTATTAAGTGGGATGCTTATTTAACTTATTTAAATACAAAGGAAAATACACAAATAATTACGTAAGCATACAATTAGTGACTGCAACTTAAAATTTGAATGTCTTTACAAATAGATATATCTGGTTTCGATGCTAATATAGTAATTATTCATTATAGGAAAAGTAGTTGTGTATCCAAAAAATCCATTTATCATTTCGTTTGTTCCTTCGTTAGTATGAGTATAATAGCTAGTATAATATCGCGCTTAAGGAACCAACAACAAACAGGTTTGTCGTGTTGCGCCAGAATATATCTAAGTATTAAAATTTGCATAGGATTGCGTGTACCAATCGATTGCGTGTATCTATTTTTGTATGTTCTGTATAGATATTAAATCTATTTGATAGATTTATAGATGTATATTGAAATCACAAAGTCCTATAATTCGCAAGTTATTGAAAAATGAAACAATTGTCACAGTTGCTCTAATCACCAATATCCCCATCTATCTTGAAACTCGCACAGAAAATAGCATTCTAATATAACTGAGATCCTTAGATCACGAATTCAGAACACGCAAGAGGAATTATATATCTTTACTTTCATTTTATTATGCGCGCATGCGAACGTAAAGAATGTTTGCGCGTGGTGCATTGCGGCTTGTAAAATGCCAACTATCTCCTTTCTCCCATATATGTGAGAGAGAAAAAAAGAAAACAGACGCACGTGTACAGATATTTTGGAAAAGTCAAGTTTACCGGCGAATACGAGGGAACCTCGCAAGCGCCGCGAGTATTGTCATCAATATCCGTCTTTTTTCTTCTTTTATATGTATATTTTTATCTTTTTTTTATATTATATTTATATATACATATAATTACGATGGAGCTCGAAGGTAAAAGGAGCGACGACAGCTTTAATTTTCTCCTTTATCATCATATTCCCTGTTTTTTAACTGACAATTTACATAATTGATAATGATTTCCATTCGCGTAGAAAATGGTAGCCGAAAAGTACGACAAGGCCGTTCCTGAGCTAAAGGAAGAATTGAAAAGGATTGCTGAACAGATCGTAGCTCCTGGAAAAGGAATTCTCGCTGCTGACGAATCTACGACCACGATCGGTAAACGTTTAAAGGACATCAATGTAGAGAACAATGAGGATAATCGTAGAGCATACAGACAATTACTTTTCACTGCGGCAAAGGTACGCGATTATTTTTTATTTTCAAATATACACTTGTGTAGATATTTACATTTTCTCCTTTATCAGCGATATCTTTTATGAAAAGAGTTAATGAACGAATAATACGTATAATAATTCTTATCGCGTTGTTACAATCTTGAATTATTTATATATACTCATTATATTCGTAATCGATGTTAAACTTCTACAGTCATTTGTTACTTTGGTACGCATTGTTCAATGAAAATTGAACAGAATCGATTGATATTTTAATTCATTTCAATGATTACTGCTACAAGAGACAAGTCAAAGGAAAAGGAAATGTAATTTATTATTACACAATTGTTCGCATAGCCAAAGAATAAGTTTCGTACAAATATTATCAATTTAAATATAATCAATTTTTGTGTGTGTATGTTATCTCTTTTAGGCGCTAATTATAAGTTTTTACATTTTTCTCCAATACTAAAAAATGATTATTTCAACAGGACGTCATTGGACAACATATCTCCGGTGTGATTCTGTTCCATGAGACTCTATATCAGAAGGCTAATGACGGTACGCCATTCGTGGAGCTTTTGAAACAACGTAACATCATTCCTGGCATCAAGGTTGATAAGGGTGTCGTGCCACTCTTTGGTACAAACGATGAATGTACGACTCAGGGACTAGATGACCTCCAAGCACGTTGCATCCAATATAAAAAGGACGGCTGTCATTTCGCCAAGTGGAGATGCGTTCTTAAAATCACAAAGGATACGCCAAGCAAGCTCGCCATCTTAGAAAACGCGAATGTTCTCGCTCGTTACGCTTCAATTTGTCAGAGCGCAAGAATCGTACCGATTGTTGAGCCCGAAATCCTTCCTGATGGTGATCACGATCTTGCTCGTTGTCAACAAGTTACAGAGGAGGTTCTCTCTGCTGTTTACAAGGTTAGAAAAATGTTGCAATAAAGCGTGTCAACTGGATGACACAAGATTTTGCCACAAATGATGCAACAAACAATCGCTATTTTAAATCCTATTTCAAACTAATACCTTAATAATATCAAAGGATCAACAGAGAGATTAAATCTTTCTTAACTTTTAGGCATTAGCCGATCATCATGTCTATCTCGAGGGTACTCTCTTGAAACCAAACATGGTAACAGCGGGCCAAAGTTGTCCGAAGAAGGCAATGCCTCAAGAAATTGCAGCAGCAACTGTAACCGCATTATTGCGTACGGTTCCACCTGCAGTACCTGGAATCACCTTCTTGAGCGGTGGACAATCCGAAGAAGAGGCCTCAGTGAATTTGGATGCCATCAACAAGTTCCCAGCTAAGAAACCTTGGGCATTGACCTTTAGTTACGGTCGTGCTCTTCAGGCCTCTGTTCTTCGCGCTTGGGCTGGCAAAACCGATCAAGTGACAGCGGGACAGGAAGAACTTATCAAGAGGGCTAAGGTAAAATTTTGTTTGCCTTTTTATCTTGCGTTAATTTCTTTTTATAATATCTAATTATTTGTAGAATTCTTTCAATCGATGTGTAAGCCTATCCTCTTTAATAGTATTTATTTATATACAGTGTTAATGTCTATGTTCTAAATTAGTGAATTACGTTTCTATTACTTTTCTCTACACCATACTATTCAATATGTAATAATGTAACATATTTTTTGATCTATTGTCAGTAAGCCTAATTTGTTTCTCTGTTCTGTTGTTTCTACAAATATATCACTAATTGTATTGTTTCGCTACTAATACTACGATAACAAAGTTTATCACTGATTTCTCTCTATAATAGAATAGTGGCTAATTTGTTTTTTTTTTTGCATGTCCATGAATCTTATGCTTATTTAGGCAAACAGTGCTGCTTGCCAAGGCAAATATGTTGCTGGCAGTATTTCTAGCAAAGCCGGTGACTCTTCTTTGTATGTCAAAGCTCATGCCTATTAAAATTCTCTTTCCTTACTCTGTGTGATGCTGTTTATGTACTACTATATAACAGTGAGTATATGACAATACACACAAACGTGTTTATTTATAATATAAACAGTTTACATTTATTTCCAAGTTTTGAAAAGTCTTTGAAAATTTTTGTTCGAAAGATTATCAATTAATTTTGTCGTAAAAATAAAATATACATTTGTCTATCTCTGTTTGTTAACAGGCCAACAGCGAATCGGCACTTGGCAAATACGCGGGAGGTGTCACAGGAGCTGCCGGCGATGCTGCACTTTTCGTAGCGAATCACGCATATTAAAGAAAAATCTTCAGTTAATAATAGTTTAGACATTCTTCAGTTCATCCGTCGAATACGATCATCGTCGATTCATTCTTTCAAAAAGTAATGAACAATAAAATATCAACAAGAGGATAATAATAATAATATTAAAGCAGAATAAAGTGGAATAAATCATCGAATAGATCATCGTCGATGATCGTTACGACTTTTATCGATATTTTTCACAGCGTTGACTTTCGACCTTACAGATCCCATAGGAGATAAATAATACGATTCCTCTCTCTCGTTCCTCTCTCGTTATTTGAATCATCGTCTACTTACTAAGAAATTTCATAAAAGTAATCTTGTATAGGGTATACCATATCCTGGATCTTAAAGATTTTTCAAATGTGATTGCGCACAATAAAATGGTGTACGAAAGTAACGTTGAAAATATTATCGATCGTAATTTTGAAGATTATTAAGAAAACAAAAGAAAATGAACAGGTGACAAAGCGTACATTTATGTAAAAAAAATGAAGTAATTAAATTCGACGATGACACGAGTTACAAGCCCAACACATACACGTACGAATACACGTTACATATTTTATTCTGTAACATATATAACAAATAAGAGAAAAAATCAGAAGAAATAAATATATATTACCGTCAGTGTCGTTATATATATAAAGTTTTACGTCTGTAAAAAGAATTATAAAGTAAATATATTAAATGTTGTTTGTTAGAAAGAGAATCCGACAATTACAAAAGCGTATTATCTTATACGATTGCATGTAATCTTTTATAGATATATTTAAGAAACATCGTATATTTGTACGTCGATGTTACATTACTATCTATTATTTTCATTATAATCTAGGCCACCAAAAAGAAAAAAAAATACATTGTGGAGGGTATTATTTTTGTTATTTATTGAAATTAATTTTTATCACCCATGTGAAAACTTTTCTCGTGAAAAATGTTTACAAATATATCCCAACTGTTTTACCATACTCTATTGTGTAATGTGTTACTATTGTGCCAGTAGGTGGCAATATTGAGAAAAATAATTTAAATTACTCGTCTAACCTCCATATAATTGAAGCTTGAACAACATGTTATATACAGTTTGATATAGTCGAAGTATATAAGTGGACGTATAGTTTGATTATAATGAAAAAAACATGTAATGCTAATATGAAATGTAACTTCTAGAACTGAATGAATAAATATGCCTAAGACGTATTCAATGGCACGAAGAAGTTATGGAAGAGGCAGAAATAGTGGAACACTTTTACGGAGTATATTTATTATATTGTTTGAATTCAAAGTACAAAGGCAGAACTTATATAGGTTACACTGTAGATCCACGACGTAGAATTAAACAGCATAATGCCGGTAAAAAGCACGGCGGTGCATGGAGAACTAGCGAGAGAGGTCCATGGTAATAGTTACGATTGACATCAAATTAATGGTTTATCATAAAAGATTTGCAGGATTGAATTTTGTTTCTTTAGGAGTATGGTGTTAATTGTTCACGGCTTTCTTAACAGTACTTCTGCATTGAGGGTACGTAAACTACCGTACAAAAAAAAAAGGCTTCCTAGGCTTTGAAAGAATAGTAATTGCTTATGTGTGTTTAGTTATGTATTTTATTATGTCAATTGAAATATGTTTTAATGTATTGTACATAGTTCGAATGGGCATGGCAGCATCCTCATGCGAGTCGACGTTTGAAGCATGTGTCGAAAAAAAAATCAACTCAAAAATCGATCGAATTTTATTTGATGGTTCTCTCGGAAATGCTCAAAGTCGGACCCTGGTGTCGTTTACCTTTAACAATTCGTTGGCTGGACGATGACTTTGCACAATTGTATTCCACTTCCTTTTCACCGCCTTTACACATGCCAATATGTTACGGACAAGTTCTGCCACGAAAGGTTACTAAGGAAAGTCCAATAAAAGAGAATAATGTCGAATCAACAATGGAAGATCATATTCCCGTACTCGTTTGTTCAATTTGTGGATTAATCAGCGAAAAAAACAATTCCATTAAGTGTATAAAACCTAACTGTCGACTGATAGCACATTTAATTTGTTTGGCTAAGCGTTTTTCTAAAGACGATCAAATCTTACCGATCGAAGGTACATGTCCTTCCTGTAATACTAACGTCCTTTGGGGTGACTTGATAAAAAAGATGATCGGTTGTTATCAGGATTTACAAAGTAATGTAAAAGAAGACAATTTTATGCTCGTAATTAGTAGCGACGAAGATATCGTTAATTAATCATTCGTTTATTATCGTATTTTATTAAAAAAGACAATAAGAAAATAATTCTTTATAACTCATTCTCACGATCTCATGAACGTTATTTGAACAATATACAAATATATTTGTTGTGCTAGATTTTAAATTGTAATATAAATACCACTTTAATATGTAATTAGCGCGCGCGTAAAGTGTACCGTTAGTACTTTTGTCATACGTGATCAAATAATGATGCACATATCGTGCTGTTCATAATTGTTAACTAACATTTAGGTCACAGCAGTCATTTTCTTTGCCGTCGTCAAGTCGATGTTAATCACAAAATACATACATACGTACGTACATATACACGACTATTATAACTAATAAATAAATTAGTAATTAAATATTTAAAAAAACGCGTATTATACATATATCCTTGTGCTTAAAATGCAGATCATTTCAGTTTTCATTAGAATAGATCAGGGATCAGATCGTCGTCAGCATAGTCGGCATAATCTTCCGCGCCAGGAGGTACGAATATTCCTCCAAGAACACCAGAAATATTTTCACCTAATCCCATCGATGTAGCCACACCAAAAACTAGTCTCATCACGAGCAACCTTATAAAATTCACCGGATTAGTCTCCTTACTTTGTAACGACAATTGTTTCGTTTTCTTAGATCGACATTCGACCTGCACGATCTGTAAATTATAATTGAAAAAAGTCTGGCTTTACATAATATGAAATTTCAAGATTATTGAATAAAACAATCGAACGAATGAAATAAACAATCGACGTTTAATTCATCAATATGCGTGGCATCGTAGCATGAATAATTTTCCGATGAATCAAGCAAATAAATTGATCGATCCAATTGAAAATGATAATTTGAAAATGATAATTTGAAAATGAATAGAAATTGTACTTACACTCAAACATACGAATATTAAAGCAAATAACGTAATTGTCACTTTCATCTTTTAAATCTGGCTTGGCGTTAATCGCTTTCGATTCTCGTCCTTGACACGAGAAGCACGTGCAACAGGAATGTTTTATAAACGAAAGAAGCAATCTCACAGAAGTAGAAGAATCGATCGATTTCCACAAAAACAGGCGCGGTTAAAATAAGTTATTCGTAAAAAATAATGTATATTATGATAAAAGCCTCGGCGTGTTCGGTAAAATGGTTCGATTAGACAGGCGCTCGTGAAGGGACACAAGAGAAATAAGCATTAGCTTCGTGATCGCAGAACCTAAGTTCTTCTTCCACGATAACGGTAAACGACGAAAAAAGGCATCCAGGCCATCTCCTGTTCGTATAATACGCGCGTAAGGTTGGGGCGCCAGTAACGAGCTAGCAGAAGATTCGAACGATGGCCAAACGCAATCAAGAGAAATGTTCCCCTTAATTAGTTTTCAAATAAGAAATATATATATATATATATATATATATATAATTATTATTGTAACACATTACGATACACGGTTTGAATTTTATTCTAAAGAAAATTGATCGAGAAGTTATTCGCACGTTGATTATAAAAGACAAAAGGCACCATCCTTGTTTGATGATAATTTTACCAATCAAATGGGTCATAAATAATAAATCTTGAGAAGTCTCTCCTTACCTTTGACATGAGATCCCATTAAAGAAATTCGGTATAGCATAGTAGTTCCCGGTTACCTAGAAAATCGTAGGACCAATTCGGGCAAGCTAGCGAAAGAAAATGACAAAAGTGAAAAGTATCGTTCGTGAATGAATAAACGATGTGAGGGTGGGTCAATTGAATGGTAATTAAACGACGCGTCGAACGATGACGAAGCCGGCCCACGAAAAAGATATACAATGACGCACTTCGTTAGAGCCATCGAAGGACGAGAAGATAGGCTCAACGTATCAACATTCCCTTTAGATTCACCGGCCGATTCGAGCGAAAGGAACAAACCCAGCCCCTTCCTATTAGGTTTGTAATGAAAGGCAGGATGCGACTGGGACCGGACGTGACAGTCCTAGAATACGCAAACAGTTCCAGAAACGAAGGAAACCAACTAGCCGTTCGACGATGATGACTCCGACATCCAAGACCGACGTCCAACACTCGTTATCGAAAAGATCTTTTTTTCTTCTTTTTTTCTTCTTTTTTTCTCAAGGAAATGTTACAATCAAAAGTATTGCCCACCTAATCTCACACACCTGAGAAAATGCATCTCCGAAATATTGATCCGATATCATTCTAACCGCATGCCATTCTACGGTGCGGAATTTTCGCGTGACTGCTCTTGTGACTGCTTTCAAAGGTTTCTTCGAGCGTAAGAAATCTAGCATTTCTTATGTGAAATGTTAAACATTTCGTAAAAAGCAAATTTTATTGAAAATAGCCGATAAAACGAGAAGAACGAGAAGAACGAGAATTGTTTTTAACGAAATATAAATACTAATGATATGATGCCTGAAAAGTGACGTGTAACTTTCTATGAGAGCTTTGACACCCTATGTGTAGGCGCAGTTGCAGTAAGTTAGATAATGTCCTCCTGTCAGAAGGTCTATGAACTCCGCAAGCGCATTTGCTTCGTATTGCAGTAATGTGCGCGGTACTATGTTTAAAGTATCGCAATGATACGATACTTATTGATCATGCTAGTTTATCCAATAATTGGATATTTTTGGAATTTTTGATATTACTTTTCAATGTCTCTTTTGACACTTCCCTAACAGCTAATAAAAGTTTTTGAATGAATTGTAAAACGGATCATTATTGACAAGAGAGCTGGCGGTAGCTAGGAGAAGACACGCGTTTCTATCTGTTCTTCGGAGCATATTCCTCTTTCTCGACACTATTTTTCGAGAGAGAGAGAGAGAGAGAGAGAGAGAGAGAGAGAGAGAGAGAGAGAGAAAGAAGGAGAGACGAAAAGAGGGAGAGAAAGGACTCTTGGCGATCAGCTCTCACCGGCAGTGCGTGGTGCACCCTCATTGATGACACTCCATTCGGCGCATGCTCGAACTTTCTTTCGAATTTTCCTTCAAACTCTTCGTTTTCCGTTTGAAACGTTTACAAATTTTCGGCTTAATTCGATCATCAAATGGATAGGAAAGATGATAAGAAAGACGATAGAATCGTGATTATGCAATCCGTAAAGAACGTTTGTTCGGAATTTCGAGATCACCTAATCGAAATGTGAATTTTGTTAAAATTTTGTAAGAATTTTGTGACCGTGCGAGAGAAATTGGTGTACGAGATAATAAAAAAAGAAATAACAAAAGAAATCATTGTTTATCGAAGAAAATATATAATTGAAATTTGTTCGCAAAGATGAAAGTCAACGATGGAAAAAGAATGAATGCGGAAACGGTGAAAGTTGGTTGTTTTCAGATGGTCCTTGTATTAATATTTTGCATAAATTACATCATCGTGTCTATGAATCATGCCTTACCGGCTTTTCATAATTACACACCGAAATTTTATTGTCAGGTAATAATCACGAGAGTGTATATTATATTATATATATTATATTTAAGAGTTAATGGGGCTTGATCAGTCATTGGCTTAGATCTCTATCAAAGTATGCTGATAAAAGGGTGAAAGGTGAAGAAGCACCTTTTCACTTTGGTGAAAATGAATTTAGAAAAATATCGTTATTCCAGCCAAGGAATACAACGAGCAGAACTTATGGCTGTCGAATCGAAAATAATTGGACAATCGAATCCAACTGGAGCTCCTCCTGTTCCGGCGACGACTATCGATTCGCGATCGAGCTCGGTGAGAACAGCGTCGTCACCGAATGGATCTTGATATGCGAAAGAAGATATCTGACGTATCTAGGGTCAGCGATCTATTATTTTGGTGCTTTGATCGGTGCTTGGATCGCTGGAATTCTGGCTGATCGGATTGGAAGACTACCAGTTCAAGCAATTTGTCTTTACACGCAAGGCACTATGGCTGTTGCGCTTTACGTCGTACAGGTAAAATCAAATAAAACTTTTCCAACGATATTATTATTATTATTATTATTATTATTATTATTATTATTATTATTAATCGGCGAACATTAAATAATGCCGTAGAACTATCCTACATTTTTGGCACTTCGTGGCTTCCAAGGTATTTTCGTGCAAGGCCTACAAAACTCAACGTACATCTTATCCCTGGAATTGTTCCCCAGTAAATCGCGAACTCTCGTCGCTCTGATCATGCAAATCGCTTGGGCTATCGGCTTGATACTCCTAGCGATATTAAGTTACGTTATACCAGATTGGAGAATTCTGCAGCTGGCTGTTTCCGTACCCACAGCGATAACAGTTCTATATATCTGGTACATGGCTCGATTACAATAATTATGATAATAGTTCGAGACTCGTTGAATTTGTCGAACATTTTTAAATATTATTCAACTCGTTTAGCTTACATTTTTATCCTACAGGATAATACCCGAGTCCCCGCGATGGCTGTTGGCTAAAAATAAATTAACGGAAGCCGATATGGCGTTGGAAAGAATCGCGAAATATAACGGGTGTTGCATGAGAATACACAGAGAGAACATTATTAAGCCTGAGCCCGTTGTTAAAGAAAATCCGATACCAGTGAAGCCGGAAAGGAAATCACGCGTTTCGAGTGTCGACTTGAAGAAATCCAAAACTCTTGAAGTAACGATAAGACGGCAAGACGAAGTGACCAAATTGCTGAGTTCACCGGATTCGAATCAGCAAAAAGACCAATGTATGAGGATTCAAAAACTCAAAAAAGTATTTCTTTTTAACAGAATAATTTGTATATTATTAAATAGAAAAATAATCTACAAATTTCTTGTGTGTCTCGCTCCTACTTTAGCCAGAAATTCCATCGACCAAACATCCAAAAAACGACTTTCATCGATGAACGTCGAATTACGAAGAGAAAATGACGTAGAAAATGAAATAAAAAATTCACCATCTTGTTCGAGCAATAATCGAAAATCCAAAAGAAGTTCTCAGTCCTTCTATGATCAAAATACACCCTCGAGGATCGACGAAGAAATCGTCGTGCTTAGAAATCCAAGAAAGCTTGAAGAAGCGAATGATAATGAAATCAAAATAGACGACAATGTCGAGGAAAAATTGCAAAAAGTAAAAAACAAAAGCTTACAGAAGTTATTTAAACGACCATTAATAAGGAAGTATAGTCTTGTGATGGCTTTCCAGTGGTAATCATTTGAAAATATATAATTATCCAGTTAGCTGCGGCGAACCTATTTGAAAAGTGTCTACTTAAAATGAAACGATGACGAATATATTTGTTGTAAAATTAAATTCTAATAAAAAAAGATCGAAAAATCAATTAGTTGAGTAGTTTTCATTAAAAATACAATTGAAATAGCAAATGGTAACTATTTTTTCCGTACTACGAGTATATAAGTCAATCGCAGCTAACTGGTTAAACGTTTAATTTGATAAATCCATTTTAAGGGGTTAACGTCACTCTAGTTCTACGTAAATTAGTCTATCTTTGAGAATTTTTGATGGGAATGTGGTAATGGACAAATGTATGACAAATTTGTGAATGTTGCCGAAAGTGTAATGAATTCTCAAAAATGGTTGATTCTCCGAGAGCTAAAGTAACGCGTTACCCCCTTTAAAGCCATAATATTTGGACCGTTTCTTTTTGTTTTTTTTTTCAAGGTTTTCATCCTCTATGGCGTGTTATCTTTTAGCATTGCTTCTGCCAACTTTTAACGTAAACAGACACGTAACTTTTGCATTAGGAGGAGCTTTAGAAATTGCTGCTTATACGTTTATATATTTCGTATTGTCCAGATATGGAAGACGAATACCATTAAGCATATGTCAATTTACAAATGGCGCGATATTAATTATGTTGTCTATTCTAATTATTATGATAGATTCTTCTTTAGCCTGGAAAGGTGATTGACAAAAAATTCATTGGTATTCGTTGGTATTAAAATCAATAATTCCAAAGATTATTTTTCTCCGCTTAAATAGATCTCACGAAGACTATAATATTGTTATTTGGTAAAGTAACAGTAATAAGCACTATTGCTGTAACATATCTCTACGCTGCTGAACTATTTCCAACTGTTTTAAGAGGAACCTGTTTAGGTTTATGCACAGTTTTTGCTGAGATTGGTTTTTTAAGTATACCTCATGCGTTATCATCAGTACGTTAAGAATATCATCGATTTAAATTCTTCACTTTTATGCTATTAGATAATTATATCAATTATTAAATACTATTTTTGTTGTGTTTTTATTTTTTTCAGGAAGAATATGTGCCAATTAGCATGCCGTTAGCGATCGTTGGTATTCTGTGTTTTATATCGGGTATACTAGCAATCGTTTTGCCAGAAACATTGAATAAAATTCTACCCGATACGATAGAAGATATTGAAGAAATGTTCGTTAAAAAAACGGATCAAATAAACGACGAAGAAATAGTTAACGAGAATAAAGATATTGCAAAAGACGATCTTAAGGAGAGAGAAATACTAAGAGAGAAACTTTTTTCGGAGGATTGGGTGGACGCCGGAAACGGTATATTAGTTAATTTTTCCGAAAACAAAAATGCAGATTGTCCGCGCGATTAGCCGAAATGTTCTTTAGTGAAAATGTATTTTTTTGTTTCTTTTCAATTTTAATACAGGTTCACAAACAATCTGATGTAAATGTGTATAATGCGCTTACCACTAGAAATGTAAGTTTTATTCGTCAGGGACTTATGTATTTATTATTTTACATTTTTAAGAATAATTTAGAAACTTAATCAATTATTGTATATACTTTTACTTTCATTCATATAAATTCATTTTTGGAATTAAAACCGTTTGACAATGAAAATCTTTTAACGAGACTGAGGAAAAAAAACTGATTCGCTATGTAAAATATGATATTTGTATGTAGCATATAAAACACATTGTGTGTCCAAAAATATAATTGATGATGTATTAAATGCAGATAAATATTTTATTGAAAATATATCACAGTTTAGCAACATGATTAATAAGCCCATCCATATCAAAGAAATCACAATATAAAGATATATTTCTAAGTAATATCTCCTATGGTTTATATATCGTTAAAATTTCCTAATATACCAGACGTATCTCTCTCTTTCAAGGAACTTTAGATTGTACAATACCATTATTTTGCGGATTTACATGTGGAGTCTGCTCCGCTGCTGTCTGTAAAAGTCTTATCCTACGTCTAGTATAATGTTGCCAAAGCAAAATCTGCTGATCGTCTATAAATTTGGTGCATTGCGAGCTGACGGCTTCTCTTCTGAAGTGTTCGTATTGCAATAAGTCTAAGAAGTACAAACACATGGGATATCTCAAATATTTAACATATTCTGGCTCTTTCCAATAGAGAAGATATTTAAGGTAGTTTATAAATGTGGCGTCCTTAAAATAACCTCGTTGTGCTAAAACTACAAAAGTTAAATAAGAAATGTGAAAATAAAACGTCTGCGGTATAAAATTGTACATACAATTAAGGTAATTTGGATTTGCAAGACATTGAACAAATTCCAGTTCAACTTGGAACCTTAGACGCTGTTGATCGTCTGTTTCCGTACCTCCTTAAAAAAAATATAATCGATTGGAAAGTTATAAAATCGCTGAAAAAAGAAACTTTGTTATTGAGTCGTTAAAACATACATACCATTCATTCCGATAAAAGATGGTTTTCTGCCTTTCATGAGACCTGGAGGATCATCCAGACGGTTCATAATACGCTAACCTACCACGTTTCGATAATTTTTGACCGTAACATGAAAATACTAACCATCAAAGAAAGAAGAAAGAAATAGAAAAATTGTTATGAGGAAACGTGTAACCGTGCGTGTAACGATCTTCGTACATCCATATTAAGACGCGTGTCGCCACTATGCGGAAACCGATAAAATTAAAAACAAAACTCCGTTGGTAAGTAGGACTTACTTGCTTCCTACGGCCGTCGCGAGATAGCGCCAACATTTTCTTCACGAGAGGCGCCACGTTTTCAAATATTTCTATCATTCTTTTAATTATTTTATTTCAAAATGTGCCAATATTTATTGAATGCGAAATCACAAAATTACCCGTATAAATGTGCATAACTTGTACATCTTTCGACGCAATAATAAATATAATTTATTAATAAGTCTGTAGAATTTCAAGAACATCTAATTATAAAGAATTACAAATTTACTTTTCGATATATAATTTTAACATCAAGGATGGAATTTATACGTCTTTCTGTCGTACTTTTGACTAGATTATATACAATTACATCTATAATATCGATTAATTTATTTTGTTTTTTGTCAGTTATAAATAAAACTGCTCGTCTCCTAGTTAACAGTTTCATTCTTGTTATAACATCGAAAGGTTTAACTTATCTTTATTAAAAGCAACCATTGTGTGTGGAGGTATATCACTACATCGAGTGTTTAAATTGGAGTAAATATAGAAGGAAAATTACTTTGATACTTTGAATACTTTTGCGCTTTATTGCAGCACTTCCGTTTACAAAAAGAAAATGAGTTTAATACCAAGAATCAGTTATGAGGAAGAATTAAAAAAAAATGTTGATTTAAAGGACTCTGATATAGAAATATTAAGGGAATGGTGCAACAAGCAGCCACATTTACCAAAAATCACGGACAGCGAATTGGCATTATTTTTACACAGCAATTATTACCGATTGGAGCCAACAAAAGTTACGATAGATACGTACTATACTGTACGAACTCACGTTCCTGAGTTCTTTTCTAACAGAGATCCGCTTGGATCAAAGTCCCTTCGACAAATAATGAAAGTTGTGTAAGTAATACAATTTTTGTCGATCTAATGATTATTATTTATAGAAAATCTTTGTCTACAGTGCAGAAATACCATTGAAGGAAACAACGAAAGATGGTTATAAAATAATTTTCTGCAAACTACTTGACACCGATCCTTCGCATTATGTTTACAACGACGGTATGAAATATTTTAGCATGATTTTAGATTATTGGCTTTATATCGAAGGTACAGGAATTGGTCATATAATTCTGATTGATATGGAAAATGTAAGCTTCGGTCACGCAGGCCGATTGAGTCCTATGGGACTGAAGAAGTTTCTTTACTATTTGCAAGAAGCTTTACCTGTTCGTCTGAAAGGTTTACATTTCATGAACACAACAGCGGTTATGGATATCATTCTAAATATGATGAAACCTTTCATGAAAAAAGAATTGATGGATGTGGTACGATTATTATTGATTTAATATTGATATCTACTATAGTGTATATATATATATACATACACTACTATAGTGTATATATATATACACACACACACACACACATGGTGTAATTAGTTTCGGTTGTTCTTTTTTAGTTGCACGTGCATTCCACATTGGAAAGCGTCGCTAAATTTATTCCATTAGAAATATTACCAACCGATGTGGCCGGTAAAGCAGGTCTTACCAAAGATTTACACGAAGAATATATAAAAAAGCTCGAAGATCATCGACCTTGGTTCCTACAAGATGAGATGAGTGGTCGAGTAAATGAGGCTCTGAGACCTGGTCAAAGTAAAAATGCAACGGATCTTTTTGGAGTCGAAGGGAGCTTCAAGAAGCTTGAAATAGATTAACATAATGAAATAGATATTTTGTACGAATTATTTACAATGAAAAATGTGATTTATAATGAAATCTTAATTAAGAATAAATACTAAATCTCAAATAAATTATCCTTAATCATTTTTTTTGTGTAATCTACGTTTAATACACCAAATACATAATCAAATGAAGCATTATGACACGCTCGTGTAGATTTTTTTTGGAGAAACAATTATACTTACGTATTTTCAAAACTATTTCTATTCTGTGTACTTTGATCTGTTATAACACCTAACAATTATCCCGTAACTTCATTTTTATAGAATGAGTTTGACATATTACATAATTAATAACATATTTATGAAATTCTGATATACTACTATACTACCATTTAATTATGTATCTGAATATCCTTGTAAAATAGATGTACTTGGAAAAAATTTGTTACTCCATCGCATTAAATTACAAGAGTGTATTTTGATCTCTTGCAAAATAATGTTTACTTCGATAAACTTGATAAGAAAAAACTAATGACTAATTAAATACTGTAATAAACACGTTCATTACAGGATGTCCCAGAAGTTTCTTTACTAAAATCTCCATATGCGATGCATATAACGATGCTTTTTTATTTTGCAGGATTGTACCTGTATGGGTGATCACCTCGTAACCCAGAGTGCTATGAAGAAATGTTACACAGAGGGAAGAAGAGGATTATTGGCGGCGGATTATTATAGTCTGACGCAGCGTAAGAAATTTTCTAAGGAAAATTAGGCTTGTCTCAAATCTACGTCAAGATTGCATCAGATTGCCTCAGGTTTGCGTTAGATTTGTATCAAAGTTACGTCTAGGTTTTTCTTTCCTCGGTAATAACAAGTTTTGAAACATCCACTATATATACATATGTATATAAGTAGTAGTCATTATTAGACCGGTTACTATCGAGTAAGAAACATATATTCTCTTGTTCCGTGAAGATCAAAGCAACATTAAAACGCTAGTTAGATTATAAAAGTATACTTAATCAAATGAATAATTAATTGCTAATTAAATTCGGACTATCGAAGAAAAATTCTAATTTCTAAAGTTTCACTTTCGTTTTTAATCTGAAATAAATCGGTACTATGGCTATATTACCTACGGAGATATATTCGTTAGAGGAATACTTGAAAAATAATCCTGATGTAAAGAAATCGGAGTTACAAATCATTCGCGATTGGCTGGATAAGCAACCTCATTTGCCAAAAGTAGACGACGTGATTTTATTGTTATTTTTTCACAGTAATTATTATCGACTAGAACCAAGTAAGACCACGATAGAAAACTACTATACTTTCAAGACTCACGTGCCAGAATTTTTCAGCAATAGAGACCCATTCTTAAAAGAAATTCGTTCACAATACAATGTCGTGTAAGTTGAATTCTAATAGTGTGTGTCAAACAAATATTAGAGATCGACAAATAATTGAACGAATTTAACGGAATATTATTTTCCTATAAACAGGCGTATTATTCAAGCGAAGAAATTTACCAAGGAAGGATATCAAATCATATATGGAGATATTGCGCATCCTGATCCATCTGCTTATGTCTTTTTTGATGCAACTAAATATTTTCTAATGACAACAGAGTTGGCATATTTAAAAGTAGGACCAGTTAACGGAATGGTGATAGTTACTGATGTACAGAACGTAACCTTGGGTCACATAGGTCGTATGAATATTATGGGATTAAAGAAATTTGTGTATTTTATACAAGAGGCTGCACCTATTCGTTTGAAACAAATATATATATTGAATTGGAATTCGGCGGTAGAGACTTTACTAAGTATAATAAAGCCCTTCATGAAGAAGGAACTATATCAAATGGTGAGTTTTATTTGAAATGATAAAAAATCAAATGAAATAACAGTAAAATTGATTGTTAGATAAACTTGACAACTATAGAAAAATTGGAAAAATTGATACCCGTCGATGCACTTCCAAATGAGATAGGTGGCAAGAGCGGTAACATAAAAGATCTCGTTAACGAGCAAACCAAATTGGTCGACGACAATCGCGAGTACTTTTTAATGGATGAGGCGAAGAATAAGTCAAACGAATCGTTACGAATCGGAAAGCCTAAATCTGCAAATGATCTTTTTGGTGTCGACGGGAGCTTCAAGAAACTCGAGATCGATTAAACAGATATGTATACATGTCTTTATTTATTGCGGTATAATTATAACAAACAAAGATGTATATTTTTTCATATATTTTAATAATTTTTTTTTTCAATATAATATTCACACGTGGTAATTAAATTTTGTCCTTGTATTATTCAATCAAATTACCATAATAAAATCTTTTACGAGTCACTTTTTGCTTATTAATCGACTGTTACATCATAATACTTCGATGATGTATCTCTTTTCAGCAATCTCTAACACGCGATAGCATAATTACAGGCTAAAAAGAGATTCCAAGCTATCATTTTATTTGACTCCTTTGCAAATATGCAAGAATCAACTAATACAATTCCAAAATCTTTAAATTAAATAGTAATGTATGTGTTCTAAAAAGTATGTATGTGTCGAAAAAAGTATGGTTACATGGGAATTAGATACATATCATGAAGATTTCAACATCGAAATTAAATATGCTATGTATTCTCGGAGAAGGAGATTTCATTTCTATCTGTACGAACGAATGAGATAGAGAATTTTCTAATTCGATTAGAAAATTAAAATAAACATCGTATTACCTTATTATAAATACTTGATACAAAAAACTGACGTCCAATCAATAATGCAAAGCGTTTTTAATCTGTCCATTTCGTTTTGAATACGAGCAAAACAAGATATACAGAATAATGCATTCTTAATTATGTTTAATTATGCGTATTCTCATCTGACCCATCGACAAAATATTCTTAAATGGCTTCGTGATGATGATTCGTCCGATTATGAACTTATATATAGAAGTCAACGTCAACGTGTCACGCAATTGTCAATCGTATGTTACTCACTCGTCATTGCTCTAAGACATCAATTGAGCTTGAATCCTTTAGTTTAATTCGTATTTCTTAAGAAGTCGTCGTCAGAACTAATCTTGAAAGAAAATATTTCTTGTGCACAAGGTAAAAAGAGAATCGTTTAAAGTAAACAAATAAAAGAAAAACAAAAAATAAGATTAACAGTGGACGTTTTATAGGATGTCATTAAAAACTGGAATTTCCTTCGAGGAGGAATTAAAGAAAAATCCAGAATTGAAGGAAGACGATATACGAACGTTAAGAGAGTGGTGTCAAAAGCAACCCCATTTGCCGAAAATCTCCGACACCGAGTTGACTCTCTTTTTACATAGTAATTACTATCGTATTGAGCCAACGAAAAGTACCATCGATACTTATTACACCGTACGAACTCACGTACCAGAATTTTTTTCTAACAGAGATCCTATTGGCTCGAAGGACCTCCGAAAAGCATTTCAAACAGTGTAAGTGTTGTGCATTTAGTCGAGTGTCAATCAAGCTACAAAAGATCAAGTTACAAACCTTATTTCAACATTCATTCTATATTCATTTACATAGATCGAATTTGGTTTTGAATGAAACCACCAATGATGGTTATAAAATCATTTACGGCAGACTGATAGATACCGAACCGTCGCATTACGTTTATAACGATGGTATGAAATTTCTTAACATGGTAATCGATCTCTGGCTTCGCGAAGACGGTACTTCCAAAGGTCACGTAATCCTCTTTGATACAAAGAACGTTGCATTTGGACACGTGGGTCGACTAAATCCCATGGGATTGAAAAAATTCCTTTACTACTTGCAAGAAGCCTTACCCGTACGTCTTAAGGGTTTCCATTTTATGAACACCTCGCCGGTTATGGACATTATTCTTAATATGATGAAGCCTTTCATGAAAAAGGAATTGATGGACATGGTAGACAAAAATTCGCTAAAGAAACAATTATAAGAAGTTTTATTTTCTACGACGTTCTCTCATTATATTTTCTTTCGCAGTTTCACATGCACTCGACTATGGAAACTTTGGCTAAGTTTATACCCTTGAAAATACTTCCAAACGAATCGGGTGGACAAGCAGGTCCTTTGAAGGACTTGAACGATGCACAAATTAAGAAATTAGATGACAATCGTGCTTGGTTTCAACAAGAGGAAACCTTATGTCGCGTTAACGAATCTCTGCGTCCCGGGAAAGGAAAAACAGCAACGGATCTGTTTGGTGTTGAAGGAAGCTTCAAAAAGCTCGAAATTGATTGAACAATTTATCCGACGAACCGACTTTATATATTTTTATCCGATAACTACCAAAAATTAGATCAAAATCTCCATTTCTTTGTCACTTTAATGAAATTGCAGTAATATGCGTTGTTATACGATTGAATATTTATTCAATATCTATATAGATGTAGGAAAAATATATGTAGAAAGATCGAGAAGCCTTGTCTCTTCCTAGAATAGAAATGGACTTCGATAGGAATCAAAATTCAGAATAATACGACAAATGGACGATCGTATCACGTAAGAGTATTACATAACACGGTTATACATTGTGTTCATTGTAAACTCTTTGAAACCAAAGAAAATAATATTCTTCAAAAATAAATAAATTTAGAGTGCTTTCGATTACAATTCACCAATCTTTTGCCCTAATCTAAAGAAAATAGAAATAGAAACATTCCATCGTCGTCAATCGTTGTATCATCGCGTGCAATATATTTAACCATGATGGAATAAAATAAACGAGTTGATGGTGTGAAGGTACCCTAAAACATATTACCTTCACCATCTCTCTTTAGTTTCTTATATTACTTTCACTGGAAGACAATCCTCTCACATCAGTCGGTTAACGCGTGTTCCTAAAGACGAGAAATATTCATAAGTTTTGTCAAGTCATTGATTTAAGAAAAATGAAAAGCTTGATCGTAAGTATATTAATTATAGGATTATACTAGGATTTATTTGATATTTCTATTTCTGTCGTAATAATTAGGAAATATTCCAGCGCGAATGTATCAACAGAAATAGATTTTTCTTCCAATTGTATTTTTCTTTCCAATTAGATCGTCGTCCTCGTTTTATCGAGTTCCTGTCTCGGAGACGTCTCACATATTTTATCTGAATATTCGACGACAACTACAAGTACATTATCACCATCTCCAAAACCTTATAGTTTTCAATACAAAGCGGGACGATATCCAGGACACGTTGATCGAATTCATGAAGAATCCGGAGATGGTTCTGGAAGCATTTATGGTAAATCTTCTCGTGACTTTATATCTCCTGACTTTATATTCATATTTGGACTTATTTGCTTATTAGGATCTTATTCGTTCGTTGATCCTAAGTACAAGGTCCGAAGAATAGATTATGTGGCTGACCAAAATGGATTTCATCCGTCGTTGATAAATTACGAAGATACGCTTAGACAACCCGTTGATTCGGAAGCTGTGAAACTCGCTAAGGAAAGGCATTTTCGACTTTACGAAAAATTGGCTGAAGCCAATGCGCACGATGTTGCAATCAATATTCCAAGGGTAAAGAAAATCTATTAAATCTATTAAATCTATTAAAATCTTTTATCTATTTCATATTATTGAACATTTCGGAAAGTCAATGCACATCGTTTTTCTAGGACACTGCCAGTGTTTCCAAAGCGAAGGACAAACATTTGCAGCTTTATCAGAAGATAGCTGAAGAACACGCGGCTATCGCATCTCAAAGAAAAGCGGAGCGCGCAGCATACGAGGCAACATCGGTTATTAACGATGTTAATGAATATCAAACGTATTAAAAATGCTAATTAAAGAAATCGATTTTTCAAATAGTATCAAATAATATTTCTAATAAATTTTGTCTTGAATTTAAAAGCAAGAACGAATGCGATGCGAATGCGATGCGAATGCGATGCGAATGCGATAAAAACAAAAAAGAGACGTGTATTATTAATAATTAACAACACGTGAATCATACACACATGAAATGTCCATAAGTGATTACCGGAAGTTGCGCTATATGTATTAAAAAAAGATAAATACTATAATTGCAGTATGTGTTGGTATAAAAGTCTAAGCGTGACAAAAAGTAGAATTGTCATTTTTCATATCTCCGGAAGGATGAAGTTCTACGGTATTTGGTTTCTGCTTTTTGCCATATTCTGTATCACGGTATGATTTTTCATTATTTCAAAAAACGTTCGTACAATATTTTAACTACTTATTATATGTATAAGTTTGCGTATTAATATTATCTATATGTAATCGCGCAAAAACGGGGCGTTTCCTTATCATATCGTAGGATGTTATGTATTATATTACGTGCTAATTTGCCTACATTCCTCGTTCGATTATGTATCTCTCTATATATATATATATATATATCTATCTTTAAAAAACTTATGAATAAAATAATGAATTGATATAAATAAAAAGAAACATAAAGTCATATATTAAAATAGCTAAATATACCAATACACGTGTGTATATCATAAATAATGATTATCAATAACGATATGATGTAAATTTATTCAGATTGCAGTGGGTAGAAGCATCGATTGTACCGATAATGCTTTTCTCAAATCTAAAAGCATTGCTTGTTACGGTCGTCGTGGAGGTGGAACAGGAAATACCGGGGGAAATACCGGGGGAAGCGACGGAGGTACAGGAAGTGGAACGAATGGAAGTGATGGAAATGGAGCTAATGGTGCACCAGGAGCTATGAATCCTATGGCTATGGCACAACGAGCAATGGGTGAAACTTTCATTTCACTTTTTTACAAATTTACGTAGTTTTCTATTTCAAACGTAAATATATTGCAGGTACGATGATGGACATGATGTCAAATATGAATCCCATGGGCTAAATCGCACATTCATTTGAAATTATTGCATTCTGTATCGAATCAACTTGCACAAATGTGTGTGATATTATTAGTACTTTATAATAATCTAAAATGTTTCTTCTTGTGTTGTTCAAAATATTACTATATTAAATAATAATAATTAATGAAAAAAATCATCCTAATTAGCATTCAAATAAATCCAAATAGTTAATATTCACGTCAACGGATAAAGAATTTATTTACCAATAATATTGGCAGTAATATTAGAAACTATACAAAGTATTACGAATATACGATATATATACGTGTGTATATATTTTATGAAATAATTATACATTAAACACATATAAAAAATTGTTTAATACTCTTTTTTACTTATTTACATTAATATCTTTTTCTCTTTACCGTATAAGGTGATTTCAAAAAGTAAACGTACCTTATACAATTTGAAGATAACAATTTCTATATTGTATTACAATCAATATATAAATGATTTTATTGTATCCTTTACTTTAATCATTTAAATTGTAATACATATGTTTTAGAATAATCTTTTACGATTTAGATGATCTGCTGTGAATATTTCCAAAATCGATCTCTTAAATACGCTTGAAAAGAAAACAAAACATTATAAAAACTCTATTTTATAATTCACTTTTATGTAGGATTGTTAAAAAATCATTGGACGATTCTCTTAGACACTATTTTTACATAATTTAATTGTCTCGTAAACTTTTTATGTCAAGTAAGTTTATATTATAAACATTAAATCTACTACACTTCTAGTGTTTAAATTTCTATGTATATGAACACACCAAAGACAGCTATATTGAATCATGTTCCATATGTGTATGTATACACATACGTATACTCCGAAAGGAGTTAAGAGATATTCTTTTTTTTAGATATCCCCGTAGCTTTATTCCTTATAAGCTCTTTACTTTCTTAGTAAATGTGTAAGATCTTTATTCTGTTTTTGTAATGTAATATCTGTTCTTTCCGCTTTATCTGTTATATTGTCAATTAAATCATTTTGTGAATCGATCTCTTCTGAAAGTCCAATTGCTAAGCCTTTCAATCGTGCCAAAGACCCACTCATTTCATCTAAATTTTGTTCTAAAACTTTTGTTATATTATTTTTCGACGAACTTATTCTTTGATCTTCATCGTCATCTAGAAGACCTTGAAGTTTAAGCGATGGGTGATTATTAGCCATATTAGTTTGAACTTGATCTAAGGAATTAGATAAAGTTGGCGATGATGTAGATCCAAAACTTGTAGATTCTGGTAGTTTGGTAGACGGTACAGGAGTGTCCAGGGATTTTCCACTGAGATAATTTTTTAAACTACCAAAGACACTCTTTATACCTTGAATGTGTTTTTGGCTAAATCTTAATGCGCTGTTAATATCATCCAACCTCTTTTCTGTCCTTTCTAATTGTTCTCTTTGTCTAATTAATTCCTGAAATTGTATTAATTTATTACTTTTTATTTACTTAATAGAAATATTTTTAAATCAAGCTAATAAGTGAATTATATTTGTCATTTAATAATGGTAATTTAGATATATATTAACCTCTGCTGTAGCTGCACCAATCTGTTCAGAGTCTCTCAAAAGAGAAATAGATCGCTCCGATGAATGAATAGTACGCTCTTCTATTTCTTTTCTACGTTGCAATAACTGCTGACGTTTAGATTCAAGTTCATTGTCAAAATTATTGACATAATTATATGATGAGCTAGGTGCCCTTGTTGGTGCACTTTTTAAAAATGTTTCATCATCTACGTCATCTTCTAATTCAAAAAATGGATTCTTAGTATCACTCAAATAATGTTTTCCTGCCATTTTGCACAATAACGTAAAATAACTGATAAATAATCTTGGAATTCGTTTCTCTCAAAACTTTAGTTGAATCACTTATTATGCACACCACACTGATATACACACATACTTGTGAAATTTGCTCTCCTATCTATTGTCACTAACTAACCTATGTAAGGTAAAAATCAATTTGACCAATATGCGCTCAATTCAATAGTTATTGATAAATTTATACAAACTCTGAAACAATTAGATACAATTAAAAATTCTTAAATATATATTTTATTAAAAGAACAATTGAAACATATGAGAGTAGTGTTTTTACTCATTTTCTCTTTCGAAAATATTAATTCACTAAAATTCTACAAGATGGTGCGAACGATACCCCATCATTGTAGCAAATAATTCCTATTGTGACAATTAGCCAAAGTTTGTTATTAGAACTGTTAGTAATACTTACAGAGAAATTCTTTTCAAATATTCTAGGTTAAATCTATTATAAGTAATAAACTTCTTTTTATTAAAGCAGTATGGATTTATCAAAGCTTACAAATGAAAGGAAATTATATCTTTGTCGATGGTATTTTCGTGGTAGGTATTAACGATCAAATAAAAAAGACAACAAATTAAGTTCGTGACAACACATATTTGATTATAAAATATATCATTTTAATTTTCTTTATAATAGCAGGATTTGCACTACTTCCATTTCTTTGGGCTGTTAATGCAATTTGGTTTATACGAGAAGCATTCATTGTACCAGCTTATGAGGAACAAAAGTACATTAAAAGATGTATGTATTCAATCATTTTTATCTAAAGTGAATTTTTAATAGACGAATAACATAGAAGTATAATATTTCAGATGTAATATTTTCCGGCATTGGAGCAATTTTATGGACGATTGCCCTTGTTGCGTGGATCGTAACATTCCAAACACAAAGAGCTGCATGGGGAGAATTTGCAGACCATATTAGTTATATTATTCCTGTTGGTATTCCTTGATTACCTTTATATTATTCCTTGTGATATATATATATATCTTTATATTTTATTATTATATTTATTTTATACAAAAATTGCTACTTATTGTGTAAGCGAAAATACATTTTTACTTCAAAGACAGGAATTAACTTATATTCATAAGACACAATTATTGTAAAAATATATCATTTATTTTACGGTAATGATCAATATTTCAATGAATATTGAGTAATTTTGTAAGTATGTACATATAATAATACATCCATTTTCATTTTTAAACACTTTCTTGTATCTTAATCAAAAGATACACCTCATTTATACTGCCCTTCGTCTCTGTGCATATAATCGTATATCTTTATAAACTAATCTGGATAAAAACTGAAATATATAAAATTGAGCGGTTTACATATACAGCGAGTCATGTAAGTATTCGTATTTTCACCAATTGTCAACTTTAAACGAATAATATTTGTTTAGAATGCAAGTTTAGAAATTCTTAAGTATATATAATGTATTTATAAAATTTACTTACAAGTAGAGCTAACATGTTTGCAGACATAAGCATATAAAAAACATTATGCCATCCTGCCCATTGTGAAACAAATCCTGTTAATAATGGACCAACCGCAGCACCGATACTGCCTGTTCCATCAATAATTGCAGTAACTGTTGCTAAAGCTTTAGAACTATCCCCTAAACTAGGATGAGTTCCTAATTCAGCAGATACTGCAGTTGTTATTAAAGCATATGGTCCATTGACTAACAATCCTGTTATTAACAATAATAGTATACTGACACCTAAACTCATACTTTCCAAACAATCATAAATAAATAACTAAAAAACAAAAATTATCAATATAATAAATTAATATGATTTTATGAACATTTTTTTAAATATAGAAAATATTACCGTTGGAATTGCAAGTCCAAGCATTATAGAACATGTTAAAGCACTCATTCCACTGTAGTCTGATATAACGCCAGCAATTATTGCACCCGCAATACCTCCTACATCAAATAATGCTGATAAACATGCACTTAATGTTGTGCTGTATGTACCTAAAAAGTATAAATACAAATAATGATAATTTTGTTATCAATAATTCAAAAAAAAAAAAATAATAAATTTTAAAAATAATTAATTTAATATTTCATTATCGTATAAATTCACGTACTTGAAACTGCAATATACAGCGGCAACCAGTAAAGCAATGTGTAGCTTACAAGTTTTGCAAAGAATAATGAAAAGGAATATTCAAGTACACCGGGTATTTGTGCAGCTTCAACAAATCCAATAGCATTCTCTTTGGTATGATTGTAGAAACGTCTATTTGTTGATAATATTGGACTTGTTTCTGATCTTAAACTTGCTGAATCCTTTTAAAATAAAAATCTATATTAGTTTTAACTATCAAAAATTAAGAGTACATTAAGTATTATATAATATTTAATAATTAATATATATTTACTACAATGTCACTGAATATATGCATGCACTTACATTAGTAACGTTTTGTTCACGGTAGACACAGCGATAGATGACACGCTAGGTAAAGGAAATGGGTACTTTTTAGTGGGCATATTGTGTCAAGTGCATAAATTATATGAATTAAAAACGAATCAACTATATATGAAATTTGTCAGTATTATTACACACACCAGAAGATTATTTGTTATTGTGGAATACTACAAAAGAAACTGAATATATAAATAGCATGAGGCACCGAACTTGATTACATTGAATAACTTCTAAATTGTTTCTCCAAAAAATTATTTCTACGAAGGGTACATGGTGTCAAGAAGAACATAATGTGGAGTACATGACATCTTTATATAAGTGGAGGTGTTAAAATAATTTTTTGTTCAATATACAATTTAAAAGTTATTCGAGATAATCAAGTTAGGTATCATATTCATACTGTATATACAAGATGGTAAAAACAGGATCCAATATTTTAAGAGCTTATAGTACCTTTTTATAAGCTTATAAGTACTTGATAAGTCCTTCAAAAATCAAACCCTTTCTTTTTACCATCCTGTATAAAGTATATATAAATATTAGAAAGTAAATATGAAAAAGAAACAGGAAAAAGAAGTAATAGTAGTAAAATTTTTTAACTTGAAGATAATGGTGATAATTGTCATGCTTGTACTTCATGTATCAACGTGCAATTTACTTTAGTTAGGTAAAAAGTTAAGATATCATTTTATTTTACTCAATTCATCACTAAATGCAATGTTATATTTTTACTGACTGTAATTAGAATAGCGATGGTATATGTAATATGTATTGTTTGTCATATTACATAGAATATTAGTATGTAATATCATTTCACTATTATTAAAAACTTACATCTTCTCCGATAGTACGAGATTCTTCGATATCTCCAATATCTTCATCTGAACTGTTAGTTGCATCTAGTTTTCTATATCCAAATGAATTAGGAGGAAAACAACCTACATCAATAGGTGCAGGTGCTAGGAATAAAAAAATAATAAATCCTGCCACTCCCATTATTGTTCCTGGTATCATGAAACTTAAACCCCAGTTAGATTCAACAAAATTAGCTGCAAGTAAAGTGCCCAATATATTTCCTAAAGATGTATGAGAATTCCATATTCCAAAAATTAAGCCTCGTTTTCCTCTTCCAAACCAATTTCCCACAACTGTTACTACACCTGGCCAACCAGAAGTTTGAAATACTCCACCCGCAGCCTAAAAAAAATAATTAATGTATATAAATTTTGTTATATGTATATATAATTTACATTATATTAATACTAACCTGAATCAAAATAAAATACCATAAGTTATGTATCTTATACGGTCTAGCAATTCCAAATAAATAACAAGAAATACCAGATGCTAGCATACCAAAGGAAAGAAAATAACGCAGATTAACACGCTCAGCAATAAAACCACTAAATAAAAAAATAAAAAATTAATATTAATGCAGTTTCTTGGATCCTACAATGATTAGTAAGCTTGCTTAAAACTATCACCTGAGAAACATAGCAGCTGCGTATGCAAATAGGAATGCTGAATCCAACATACCGAGTAATGCTGGAGCATCTGATTTGTCTATCAAAATAAAAATATCCTAATCAAATCTAGTAATATAAGAATAATTTTGTATAATATGCACTGTATTAAAATAATATAATCAAATGTTATTTACCAAATGGAGCCCAATCACACCATGTATCTCGATTGGTATCATTAATTATAATATCAGGTGGTGGTGATACGCGGCTACAATTAAGACTTAATACATTTTTAACCACAGATATAGGTTTCCTTGTCATGTGGTAACAGGTATATGCTAAATATGTAAGTGCTAATATGCCTCCTTGATGCCATATAAGTCGATTTATACGACGATGAGAACAACATTTTGACATTATATATTGGATCATTTGTAAACCCCATGGGGCATCTTTTAAAGATATCATATTTAAGAACTTTTATCAATAATTTTTTAACGTAGTTCACAATGTGTTTGTGTATATTCAGATGCTAATCTATACTTTCTTATCAATATCAAAATAAATAGTTTGGACTAAACTATTAATAATGTTTCAACAAATAAAAAGAGTTCTCATTAAAGACATTTCAACTATGCTTCTTCTTGAAAATTGTTATATTGTATTAAAAGATTTATATACTTTTTGTTTATATATATATATATATATATATATAATTTTGTACAAATATTGAAAAAACTATACATTTGTAGAAATACTATCCACACTTTAGAATATAATAAAGAAATACTATAATTGAAAACATAAAAGCAGCATTTAAAATACTACACTATTTTTAAAACATATGTTATAAGACTCCACATAATTCAATTATTTGTTATTGTGTTCATGAACCAAACAAAATAAGATTTAACATTGATAAAAAGAATGTATAGACTAAAATGTACAGAATGAGTCATAACCTAAAAGAAAATAAACAAAGAAAATAAATTTTAATTATGGATATATAAGAATAACTAAGTTATATTAATTGCTCACTTTGAACAAAGTAAAGATTGTAATTATTAAACTTACATGACGTGATATGATAATTCTAAATGGAATGTTTATTATCCTGAGTAACAAAGTGACAGCTGGTCAAACATGAAACACACAAAGACTCGAATTGAGTCATGACTTATTATCACATATAGGAAATAACTTTCACTTCGTTTCTCAATCAAAGTTCAAAGAGTATTTTTCAAAACGCGCGAAATTTGAATTAAAAAGGAACAAGAAGTTTAGCTGTATTATTATTATAATACAGCTTCACCAATATTGTGTATATTAGGTAAAATTATAAGTGACTAAATTTATTAAATATGAGAATTCTTATATTATTTCGAAAAGATCAAGAAATTGTCTATCATAGTCATAACCATAACCCTAACTAGGAAGATAACTCTATTTATAATTTTATCATTTTTATTTTAACCAAAAAATTTTCTATGTATTTTTTAATTATATAATTAAGAGTATTTACATTTTAGTACTATAGAAATATATATACCAATATGTTGATTGAAGAATGTGAATCTATTTTCCAATGGCATCCAGAAATTATACTTACTTCGACTTCGCCAGTTACATGGCAAGGCCTTCTAATGATCACAATCCCTTCGAATGCAATAGAAAAACAAAAAGTTAAACTGAAATTAATTTTACCAAATTATCCACTGATACACGATGCAGTGCTTAATTTTGGTAAGAGCTATGCTTTTTTACAAAAACGAACATTTATTACAAGTGTAAATGATTTAATTCAAAAATCTTCTTCAGTATCATCTTTTTTGAGATTACTGCAATCACTTATTGTGAGTTTATGTTTATATTAACATTCATCATTTAATACAAAATATGTTAATTAATTAAAGTCACATTTTAATGTAGAGTGAAACTATCGATAAATTAAACGAAGAATATAATGTACCAATTGATCAATCACCTACTGCCATACTTCAAGATCTAAAAGATATCTTTGAATCTAAATCTGTAAGTTGTGAAATATGAAAATATGAATATTGAATATAATTCTATATCAGATATGCAATTTAATCATTTTATTTTTCCAAGGGCATTACGTTATCATCTAATAGTTCCTTAGATACAATCAAATTATCATTGAAAAACATTCATATTGTATTGAAAAGAACTAATGATAATATCAATCCATGGAATGTTATATCCAATGATTTACCGGAGATATCTGCATTAGGATCTTTTAATCAAAAAATATCTTCTCTAACTATTATAAAAGATAAATTTAAACAACAAGTAGATAGATTTGATGCCTTATGGAAAGTCTTGTCAGAAATTGATAAGTAAATTGAAATATATATAATTAAATAAAATTAATTTTTATAAATGTAAAACACATACACACACACACACGCACATTGCTTTTACGTGTAATAATATTTTTATTTACAGAAATTGCTGTGTACTAGATCCAATTCCTACAAAACCGAATCACTTATATAGGCGTATTTACTTATCACAATCATTATCTATATTAATTACAATAGATCCCTTAAATCCTACTTCCCCTCCAAATCTTAAATTTTTAGGCAGTGATGTTGATGTACAAAGACAAAAAGATATTATTTCAAAGAACATGCATGTATGTGTTACGATTAACAATTAAAAATTGTTAGCAATAGCTTGATTATGTTTATTACTGTTGCAAATTTGCAGATCTGGAACTCAGAAAAAAGTATATTACAGAATTTACTCATTTTGTTAGATATATCTGAATTTCCTTCCCAAAAAGAACAAAGTGATAGCATCGATGATCAAAATTGTATGTTTATGAATGAAGAATGTTGTATTTGCTTTTCTTTAGAATCAGATACGGAACAATTTCCAAATAAAATTTGCGATAATATTAAATGCAGAAGACATTTTCATACAAAATGTTTGCTACAAGTATGTAAAGTTTTTCAAAAATGTACTAAAAAAATATTCATTTTAATTAATTTATTAAATCTATATTGTTATATATATATATATATATTTCAGTGGTTACAAGCAGTAGCTGGGAACCAGGTTGCATTTGATCACATACATGGTTCCTGTCCTCATTGTGAAGAAAATATATCCTGTCCTATTAATTAATTTTATAATTGATCAAAGTGTTAATTTAAATAATAAATACAAATCTTATTTTCTCTAAATACATGCATATGGAAATAATTATTTTCTTTTGACCATTGTAAGATTAAAAACGTAGTCTCTATTAGGATTACGCGTGAATAGAAATGAATAGAAACATTACATTATCATTAGATTTAAAATACACGATTTCTATAACTATATTTGACGTTAGTTTATACTTTCTTTTGAATTTAAATTTCACTTATAATCTATTATGTATATATGTCCTTAGAAATGTCATATATATGTCACATAAATATATATACATATAATATAAAATATCATTTTGAATTAAACCCCCCTAGGACTACATTGTACTCAAATTAATCAATAATATATAATTGTTGCGTCATAATGAAAATAAAAATTCTATATTTGTTAATGTGTATTAAGTTCTTATTAGTGCTATCAACGATCGCAGATGAGAAAGAAATAATAGTGAAATTTGAAAAACCACCTTTTAGAACTGATCCATTTACAAATGCCCTGCTTAAAATACAATCATATGAAGATTTATGTATGTATTATCAAAATATTATTGATCACAATACTTTATTTAAATATTTATTTCAGAAAATATCAATTTTATATCTATTTGTGTGTGTGAAGTTATAAATATAATTTTTTTATTATAGGTAGAAAATGGTTTGTAAATCGTAAACAAAATCATGCAAAATTTCTTAAACGTTTTAACGAAGAAGATAACTATGATCATAAGATTATAATAATCATAGACTTTACTGAATATATAGTAAAAGATATTGAAAACAGTGTAACATTATTAGATAATACGAAATCTTATTTTATGAAAAGCAATGGAACCCTAGCACGGAGAGATTCTATTTTAAGGAGTAAGTTATATTGACACATAAATTATATTAAAATTTGAGAACATTTTGGGAAAGATAAATATTTTAAAATACATTACTCATATTAAGTACTGCTTATCAGTTTTGTTAATTTTATAGGCTTATATCTGGTATCTCAGCAAGTTATCGCTTTTCAAAAGCTTATTCGTGATTTATCACATATAAGCACAGGAGATGCGGTACTTCAGGATAAATGGAATCAAACGATTGTATTGTCTTTGCAATACACTAATTTGATGAAAGATACGGTGGATAAAAGTATTATTGATACTCTCGTTTCAACTAAAGACAAAATAATGGAAACAAGATCTATAATGGAATTAAATAAAAGAAATTTTGATCCGAATATAATGAAATGTGAATTGTGAACATTTTTTGTGATAATTTAAACAAAATAGAAACTATCCGAGAGAGAGAAAAAGATATTATATTAATTTAAATAAATCGATTCAGAAGATTAATATCCTGATCTCTTTCCATAAAAATATATATATATATAAACATTAAAACAAATAATTTCTATTTTATTATAATATTTGTATGCAAGCACGAAATATGTGTGTGTTTGTTTAAAAATAAGTATTGTACACTTTATATGAACAGCACAAGAAGATTTTAACAGTATGATTAGATACATACATATAAACATAACTTTAATGCAGTTTGAATAGTGCTACCTTTATTCATCATTCACGTATAACTTAATCAGGACTTGATCAGATTTTTAAAAATCTCTATTTCTCGAATATTGAATATAAATAATAATAATCTAAATATTATAAAAATAGATCTTATTATCTGAATACATGTATATGAGAATAATTATTTTCTCTTGACCATTGTTCAATCGAATAATTGAATTCATTTGTTCCGCATATTAAAATTAACGTTGTTTTTGGCTTTTGGTTTCGTTGTAGGTAATTATAAACTGATTGTTTAGATAAACGTTCATTTTGAATATTAATACCATGAATACTTTGATTGGTGTCTGAAACAAGATTTTTCATAGAATTTCAATGTTTTCTTAAAATATTATGAGTATTATCAAATTACCTGTAATTAGATCTTCCGATATATGTATCGTGCATACAAAATTCCAATAATCTGATAAATTTTGTAATTCTTTTTTTAAAGGGACACACGAAATTGATCGAAAACCAGCAATGAAATTTATTTTCGTTTCTTCTTCTTCATTTTCAACAATAACCTTAGCTAAAGGATAAACTGCTGTAATTCCAGATCCAATACAGAACATAATGATTTCGTGGAAGCTATAATAAAAAAAAATAAACATGATACAATGATTTATAGTAGTATTCTTATAATAACACACCTATTAATATTATATACAAAATCCCCATATGGTCCTCTGATTTCAAATTCATCATTCTTCTTTGCATTATTTAAAACCTGACTAAATTTTCCTGATGGGTAGACCTTTACTAGAAGCATCAAACTTGTTTCTGACCAAGAAATAGGTGTGTAAGCTTTTGACATAGAACCATAACGTAATACAATATGTTGTCCAGGAATTAAGTATAAGGATCTATTATTGCTAATATTACCTTTAATATAAAATATATAAATAAGAATTTGTAATAAAATCTTAAATGGTATTTATAAAATAAACACGATTCAAGCTACCTTTATATTCTAACCATATAAAAATATAATCTTTGGATGCTTTATAATTGTTGATAACTATAAAAGTATTAAAAGATGTTGGAGATATTACATTTTTTATTGATTCTATAAGTATGTTATTTTTTTTTCTTTCTTCCCATTGTTTTAATAACTTTTGATAAACATCTAAAATACAAGGATTACAGCCACTGCCACAACAACTTTCTTTTGGAGGAGTTTTCGGTCGACTATCATAAATGTCTTCATTTTTATTTGATATCATTTTTAATGTAATCTTGTATTATATGTTTTGATTCAACTTCTACAATGAAACAATAAATAATTTATTATCTTTCAGTGAATTATAAGTTTACACATGAGGCAAAAAATAAACAGCATTTTTATTATATTTTATTAATCTATCAGAGCAGAGAGAGAGAGAGAGAGAGAGAGAGAGAGAGAGAGAGAAAGAGAAGTTGCGCGCACGCACACACACACATGCGTATGCGCATATTAGACTTTAGAGTAGATGAATGAACCAATCAGAAGCAATGGGTTCCAACTTGTTATGTTTAAAATAGAATCAACTAATTGTAAAATCTACATTAATTTGTTATGATATTACAAAGAATATAAAAAAGAAAAATAATTGCAAAATATGAATTACGATTATGTTTATGAGAATTTCAATATAAAATAAAAATATTAAAATATAATTTTATTTATATATATATTTTTATTTTTGTATACTTTCCTTTAAGTTGATATTCAAATCTCTTAAACGTCTATATGTTAGCAGCGTGTCCCCACATGGATTCATATATGTGTATTAACTTTTGAATATATTCTGTTGAATATACATAAATTATTATATGAATTTATATTTAACTTAAGTATTAGTTTGCTATTTATATACGTCCTTAGAAGTGTAACTCAATTTGTCTTATACACATCTAATATATATACATATATATATATATATATATTTACATTTACGAAATAACATCATTCTAAATTGATCTTACGAATATCTTGTATTATACATCTTTGTTTGATCATCATGGAAATAAAATTACTGTATATTAATTTTTTGTTAGTGCTATTAACGTTTGCATATGCAAATGAAGAAGTTTCACATTTTAGAGGAAAACAAATTGACGGGAATCCAGTAAAATTTGCTATACTTCATATGCAATCAAATAAAGCAGACTGTACGTACTACAAGACGATCTTTAATTATAATACTTTATTTCAATTTCTATTTTATATATATGCCATATATTTTTATTACAGTGAGAGAAGAGTTTGCTAAAATTAAAAAAGATTGTGCAAAAGTTGTTGTACATTTAAAAGAACAGGATAAATATCATCTTCAATTTGAAATGATTAACGAATTGATCACAAATATAATAGGAAACATTGAGGAATATATATTAATATTAAGTGATGTCAATTCTAGTCCTAGTGATGAACCTATTTCAACCAGTGAGAAAGTTATAAAAAGTAAGTCAAATTTACATATGCCTTATACTTATATTTGCATAAAATAAAGATTAAATTATGCAAAGGATAATTATTATATCATCAATATTTTACATTGTCATCTTTGTTGATTTTATAGCCTTGTTGTCAATATTGCATGAAACAATTTTGTTCGGAGATATAATTTATAATTTTCCGGATATAACTAAACATATCTTAAAATTTGAAGAGAAGAGGGTAAATATACTAACTTGGTCTTTGATATATGCTGATTCTATGCAAGAATTGTTGGATGACTTTACCGCTGATATCATTTCTGGAGCTCAAGCGCGACTGCACAAGATAAAATCAGAATTTAAATTAAGAAAAAGTAAATTCATACAATAGCGTAGTCCTCCGATATTAATAAATGTTCAGGTATGAACATTTCTTTGGTAGTTTCAACAAAATAAAGAAAATTTAAAACTGTTTTATAATTGAAATAAATTTTGCATAAATATTTATATTCTGTTTCTTTTCTCACCCAAATTAAACATTGACAAGAATCTTTTCTAGTGTTATATGCTTGTGAAGTCACATATAGTTTTATGCATTTGTGTTAATGCTTGAAATAAAAATATATTTCCTTTTACAAAAGGACATCATTTTAAATTGAACTTACAAATACTTTGGAAACCACCGTCATTCTGCAAGGATGGCATTTACAAGTTACCTAGTAGATGATAAAAGATTATAGAAAATAACGGTGAATATTTTAAAACACAATGCTGTAGCTAATATTTGAAATAAAATTTCCAAGTTAAGAAAAAGGCACCGAATTAATTTTTACATCTAAAGGATAGATAGATAGATAGAGAGAGAGAGTGATGAATCCATAATTGTTCGACAGTTGAACGAGATTATCAAAGATTTTAATGTGAATTGTTGTGTTTGCGTGTGTGTAAGTATACATGAAATACGTCGATCGATAGTTATTACAAAATGCATTTCTTTATAGAAGGGTGAGTGGGGATGCGATATATCTTAAATGATTATTGTTAATTAATCGAAAGAAATGTATATTGTAGTTTAAATGCTCGGAGAATATGATCTATGCACCTTCCTTTTCGAAATCAAATAATAAACTGAGTCATTGTCCTCTGTTAAAGTTCTTTTATTCAATGTTGTTTATATAACTTTCCAAATGCTACACATGTTTATAACGGGAATAATATTCGTAATAAATAAAATTACCTTATTTGGAAAGTCATAAACTACATTTAACTAAAAAATTTTGACAGAGGGCATTGACGGTGATCGTCCTCCTTATAAATAGCTTCGTTATCCTAAGATAAATAAAATTTGTTAATGTTTAAAGAAGATATATTTTCCCATATACTCACTGGATCAGCAGAATAATAACCCTTTCTTTTTTTTTACGAAATTAAACCACATTTTACAGATTTGATGATATCAGTCTTGCCAACATTTGTTTTTTTTTTCAAACGATTAAATCCCTATATCTATAGAAACAACTAAAATAGTCGTGATTGTTGCTTGTTGGGCAGTTGTATTATGGCTACCTAATAACGAAGTAAAGAAAAGAAACAAATTTAGAAATGTCACTTGGTGGTGGCCTTAATATTTTAAAAGCTGAAATATTAAAAAAGCGAAAACAATTAGAAGAAAGTAATGTTTTAGTGAGTATTATTTTCATATTTTCTTACTTTTTAAATGTCGTCTTCTATTTAACTATGATTATTCACATATTTATTTAGCAACAAAATAAGAAATACTTTAGAAGGGGAGAACTAGAGTCTCAATATAAAACAAAAAATAATGAGACTTATGATAATAGTATAAATATTGTCAAATCTGATGTGAGTCAAGAACAACAGGAATCCGTGAAAGATAATAGTTTGGAACAATCAACGTTACCTAGGCCAGAAGTAATACGAAGATTAAGAGAACGAGGAGAACCTACATTGTTATTTGGAGAATCAGAAAAAGAAGCATTTAAAAGATTAAGAAAACATGAGATTTTTGAAGCAGAAGTAAACAAGGTAATAAAGCATTATATCGACTAATTTATGTAGTTGTTAAAATGTACAAAATGATAACAAAATGATATTATTTCTTTAAAGGGCTTCAGAAATGATTTTCAAGAAGCAATGGAACAAGTAGATCAAGCATATTTAAATGAAATTTTGACATCTATTAAATCACAAGACCGTAATGTTAAAGGAGATGTCAATGTACCCGAAGAAGGTATCACTTATGAAGATATACAAAAAATGTCTGACAAATTAAATAAAGGTGATAGGGACTTTGATATAAATGTTATTGTCCAATTTATCCAATTCCTAGTACAAGTATGGGGTAATCAATTAAATAGTAGAACATCTGAAGAAAAAATGAGTACGCAAGGTAAAATGGTTAGTGCGACTTATGCTCAAACAAGGGAATATTTAAAACCGCTTCTAAGGAAATTAAAAAATAAATCTCTTCCCGAAGATATAACTGATAGTTTAACTGAAATTATGAAACATTTACTTGAACGTAATTATATTTTGGTATGTATTACATTTATGAAATAGATTATTCGTTACATATGCATTGTCAACAACTTAGTTAACAAAAATTTGAATTTTAGGCTAGCGATGCATACTTACAAATGGCGATAGGAAATTCTCCTTGGCCTATTGGTGTAACTATGGTTGGTATTCATGCGCGTACTGGGAGAGAAAAGATCTTTTCCAAAAATGTAGCGCATGTAATGAATGATGAAAAACAAAGAAAATATATTCAAGCTGTAAAAAGATTAATGACTAAATGCCAAGAATATTATCCTACAGATCCTTCACGTTGTGTGGAATATGCAAAAGTATAGGTATTTAATTATTAAATTAATTTCTTTTTAATATAACATAAAGAATAATTGTAACATATACAATCTTAATAAACTATAGTAAAAAAAAAAAAATTCTATAAATATGATTCTATTATTTACATTTACATTGCTAGAATTTGAAGATATCCGTTTAGAATCAAATTTAAATTTTGATATTGAAACTATAACTTTTTATGATGACTGGGAATCCTTAATCATTTGTTCTAAATATTTCAATTTTTATTAAAAATCATTCTTTATAAAATACTACTTTTGCTTTAGTTTATTGTTAATTTGAGTTATAAAATAACTGATCAAAAATTTTTGATTTTTAACAAAATTATAACTGTTATTAAGATATAATAGAAAGGATTATTATATAAAAATGAGATATATTATCATTAAGTTAGAAATGAATTTACATTTAACTTATAGTCTGCTATTTATATACGTCCTCCAAAGTGTTATTCTATTGGTATCGTAAACATTCAATATATATATATATATATTTGAATCTACGAAAGAACATCATTCTAAATTGATCTTACGAATATCTTATAATAATTATAATACACATTTATAATCGATTATTATTATAACGTACATCTTTACTTGATCATCATGCAAAGAAAATTATTGAATATTAAAGGGTTTTTAGTACTATTAACAATTGCATATGCAAACGAGGAAAATACAAATATGGAAAAAAGAATCAAAGGCAATCCGTTAAAAATTGCTATGCTTAAAATTCAATCAAATAAAGAGCACTGTACGTACTATAAAACTATCTTTAATTTTAATATTTTATTTAAACTTATGTTGTGTGCGATAATTTAATACAAATGTTTTTCTATGTATATATATATATACACATTTGTATATTATAGTTAAAGATGCGTTTGCTGAAAGTAGAAAAGTGTCGTCAGAAATTATTCAAAATTTACAAAATGAGGATGAATATTATCTTCAATTTGAAAGGATTAAAAATTACATTCAAAATATAGTAGAAAATATTGAAGAATCTATATCGATATTAAATAAAATTAAATCTATTTTTGATAATGAATCTAATCCAACAACTGAAGACGTTATAAATGGTAAGTCAAATTCACATGTCTTTTATATTTATATATGCAAGAAATAAACAAAAAATTATATGAAGAATAAGTATTAAAAAATCAATATTTTACAATATAAGTCGTTTATATAATTTTGATGGGTCTTATAGCACTTTTTTTAATATTGGAGAACACAGCTTTCTTTGGAGATATAATTTATAAGTTTCCAAAAATCACTACTTCCATCTTAAAAATAGAAAAAAGATGGATAGATCCACTTACTTTGTCTCTGATATATACTAGTGCAATGGAAGATTTCTTGGGTGCCTCAACTAATAATATAATTTCTACAGCTCAAGAGCGACTACGCGACATAAAAGAAGAATTGAAACTAAAAATAAACAAAATCTCAGAACATCAGATTCGTTCGAAATTCGTAAGATTTGAATTATGAGCATTTCTCTCTCTCTCTCTCTCTCTCTCTCTTTCTCTCTGGTAGTTTTAATAAAATAAGAAATATTTTAGGCTGTAATTTAAATATTTTGTTGAAAAATATTTCTATTTTGTTTCTTTTTCCATTGAAAATCAACATTGACAACAATCTCTAAGATCATACGTAGATTCATATATCCGTGTTAATGCCTGAAATATATATAATTCAAATAATGTATTTCATTGTAGATAAAAAATTTGCGTGTAATTGCATGAAAGTATTTTATATTAGTTTGCCCTTATACATGCAATAAAACCAGATTTATAAAGTATGATACAATTGTTTTACAGTTCGAATAACACTACTTCTATACGATAGTTATATACATCTCATTAAAAATTAGATCAAATTATAAATATTTGTAATTTTTCTAATGTTTATTTTGTATAGTTCTAAATATAAAATAGTAATATGATTTATAAGTCTAATAAAATACATTTTTATAAAATTGCAATTAGAATTGTAACTAGTTCTTTGAATATACACATTTGAACCCAGAGATAAGTAGAGTACACGTACTTTACAAAGTTTTCTAACACGTATTCCTCGTAAACGAGGCCTCAAACTGTCCAAATACACCCTTTATTTAAATATAGACTTATATAAAATGAGTTCGTTTTATTTCAATAATATTATTCTCAATTTCATTTTGTATAATTAAAGCGTTTATAAAATCAACGTTATCAGTTACAACATTTGACATTGGTTTAGACTTTCTATTGAATTAATATTTATTTTATAATCTGTTATTTATATACGTTCTTAGAAATGTCACCTAAACATCCTGTATATATATTTAAATTAAGGAAAGAACGTTATTCTACATTTAATCTTCGAATACATTATAATCAAATTGTTGTGTCATCATGCAAGTAAAAATACCGTGGATGTTAATGTGTATTAAATTTTTATTATTGTTATCAGCAGTTATGTATGTGCAGACAGAATTCACAAAGAATAATACAAAAAGAATGAATAAAGATCCATTGAAAGATGCAATATTTAAATTAGAACGAAACGATGATTTATGTATGTACTTTAAGACGATAATTAATTATAATACCTTATTTAAATGTTTATTTTACATATAAAAATCTAGTATAAGGATTTTTTTTAATTTATATTTATATTTTTTTATACGTTATAGTTAGAATATCGCTTTTAAAACGTAGACAACAAATTGCAGAAATTATTCAAATTATACAAAAAATAAGTTCACATGATATGAAATTTGAAACGATCGCAATACTTACTAAAGATATAATGGAATCTATTGAAAATAGTACAACATTAATAGAAAATTGTATATGTAATGTTCCTGGTTACGATTTAAATGATTATATTATTGGAGATGGTAAGTCATATTTATATATTTGGAAAAAATAAACATAATATTATACGACAAATAAATATCATATAGCCAATATTTTACATCGTATGTTGCTGATATAATTTTCGTTGACCTTAAAGCCTTGTTTGTAATATTAGAAGACACAGCTTTTCTTGGAGATATGATTGTTCATTTTCCGAATTTTATGGAGACAATATTAAAAGGTCATACAGAATGGACGATACCGTTATATTGGTCTTTTAGATTTATTCATAAAATGAAACATTTGTTAGACAAATCGACGATTTCTGTAATTTATTCAGCAAAACAAAAATTAGGTTTTAAGGAATAAAAATTTGGATTCATAAATTTACAAAAATATAATAAAATGCCTAATAAAAAAAAGTCAGAAAAGATATCACAAAACAGGAAAAAGGCCCAAAATTGAAAATTTTTAATAATGAAACTTTTTCCAATAGTTCCAATAAAATTGAGATGTAACACTATTTTGTAATTTAAATAGATAAATTATCAATTTATATTTGTATATACAATCTAAAATTTAGTTTAATTTTTGTGTGGTATGTCTTTCCATTTAAAGCATTCCATTTACATATATAATATAAATATAAAATAGTAAAATATATAATATTTATATCAGTCTAATCATATACATTTATTTAAAATTGTGATTACAATTGTAATTAGATTTTTGACTACAGTTATAGTTTAAATATATACAGCCCTCTGAACAAGAGAACTTTTATGAATGAACCATTTGCTAATTGTTTCAATAATATATTAATTAATATTTTCAATAACTAAATAGATTAAAATCCTTAGTCTGTTAGTATAAATAAAATATTTTACAAACATACTTTATAAATATATTACTGTAAATACTCAAAATTTGCTGTATCGCAAATTGAGTAATAAGGAACCGACATTGCTAGCGCTTTCGGATACTTCAAATTTTAACGAATCAATTCGCGATATAACAGATTTCGTGTTTTTAGCAATATATACATATAGAATATATAATATAGAGATATATCATTTTTAATTTTTAATATTTATAATTTAGAGAACTACAAACTCTCTGCATGTTTCTCTTTGGCACATGAATTCACTTTTACTTAATTTTAAACATTTCTTATAACTACAAAAAAAAATATAAATCTATTACTACGTCAAAACTTATTGTAAATTAATATCTTTCAATATATTTTCAATAGTGTAAATATTGTATGATTTTTAAATTTTATGTAATTTCTTAATATTATAATATTGCTAAATATAGAAAATAAATAATATACGACAATGATTTATCAACTATTTTCTTGAATATACAACTATAGATTTTAATAATTTACAATTAGATATCTATATACATATTATATGCCACATATTATTTTTCATTTTATTATTTATATTATTCTTCTTTTTAAATTAAAAACAATTTTGTACTTTTTTCTTTGGTTTAATAAAGACAGCAAACTAATATTTTTATAAAAGTACAGAAGTTAAAGAACTTATTACTTCCAATATTAATATTCTTACTCTTATTTATACTTTAATTTCCAGAGAATTATACATTGATTATTTTTGATAGATTAATTATTAATAGTTCAACAATATTGTTTTTTTTATTAATGACTCATTTCTGAAATGAGCAATAGTATATTAAGTTGTATAAAAACATCATTTTTTCATATTTGTGGGCATATTTACAAAATTTTATATTATCTTTAAAAAATTGTTAATACTCCTGCTAATTATAAGTCAGAAGGCATGCAGTAAATGAATAAATAAATAAATAAATAAATAAATAAATAAATAAATAAATATATATATATGTAACAAATGTACAAAATTTGTTCGTATAGTATATGTTTTTCACATTTCGTGAATTACAATAATAATTTTGCTTGATTTCGCCACCATAATTATTATGTATTGTTACAATATTATTTTTAACTTTCTGATATTTGTGTATTATTTTTTGTAAATATGTACATGCTCCAAATACATATTACTTTAAAATCTAACGTGTACAACACAAGGAACATTATTTATAAGTATGATAGATCTACATCCAAATCTTAGATGTACCAATATCACAGTGACATAAAAGCATAAATTAGTTTATCACTTACTTTGATTAAACGTTGTTATTAACTGTGTTTTGTCCAAAATGAATATGCTTTCCAACGCCAATACCATCCCATTTCAATTTGATTGAATCCAGTTGTAAATAAAGATAATCCAATAAAAAAGATAGCATGTATCAATGCCCACAGTTGAAATATTGGAGATACAATTAATAATAGTATCGTCGTACCTATAAATATTGATTATATTAGGAAGTAAATGAATAATATAGTTTCATTTGTATTTAAATTAGAGAGTTTATACATGAAATTATATAAATTGAATATTAAGAAAGAGAGCATGTGGAAAGGTAATTTAGTGAATAATGTATTAATTTACCAGTTAATATACTCCAGAAACTAAACGCAGCTTGTAATGGTAACATTTTTGATGTTGGCCATACTTCAGTAGGAAAACTTTTCTTTTCATAAAAAGTTTTTAATATTTTTTCTTTGTTAAACCACCTATCTTCTAACCACTGTCTTAACATCAATTCATGTGTCGGTATATCGGAAAATGGTATTCGTTTGATATAAAAATGCACTTCATGAGGTAATTTGCCCTTAATTAAATCAATTTCAGACTGCGGAACATAATCGGGATATGCTATTGTTAAATCATATATTGCATCAAGATAATTTGCTCGCTGGAGATGTTGCACTAAATAACTAAATCCTGTAGTTTTTGGGTGTAGTGTATAAATATATTGAGGTAGTTGATGTTGTAAAGCATATTTATCAGACTTCTCTTTACTAGTTTTTGTTAAATCTGTACCCTCTGGGAATATAAGTAATTGTGTACGTCTTCTTAGTGCTACCAGATAGTCCAAAGTACGTAAAAGACGACCTTTGTCTTCTTCCCACCGACGTGTTATGTAGAGGAAGCCATTCATTTGCATTATCCATCCTGTCAAATACATCAGAACGACATAGTTTATATTATAACATTTACAATGATTGTTTTTTATTCACCTGGTCCTGGGATATGTCTTATTGGATCTTTCAAAATAAATTTCAATCTGTGACAAGCTATATCAGGCATACAAGCTTGATACATCGCAGCCCATAAAAAATTCCAGTCTACTCGTGTTCTGTGATTCATTACAAGTACAGCTGATTCGTTAGGAGAAATGTGGTCTCCTGATACAAAGATTTTTACACCAAATATCCTTAACAGCGCCTATAATAAATGTATCTAACATTCACTGTCTATATAACAAAATGAAATATTGAAAAATCAATACAATAAACTCACTGTGGGATAAAGTTCCCAACAAGAAAATAGCAAATCTCCACATTTTCGAAATTTTGGAGGACTGAATAGCAAAAGTGGTAAAAGTGGACAAGCAATAAATAAGAAACCAGCTACGATACTACCATACCAAAGAGCACAGTATAACGTACCACGCAACAGTCCACGCATTACAGCCTGTAAATATAATTGAATAAAAAATAAAATATTTCTCATTATTTTCATCTTCATTTTAATAATTATTTTTCATTATAGTATTATTATATTATTGGCACGTTCTCTACTCTATAATAAAAAACGATTATTATACTTACTTTGACATAAATTGTACAATTGAACTATTCTTCATAGGCATTGAATGTCAACTGCTTTCTTGTGAAATATCGTTTTTCTTAGGCTTCTCTACAACCTTATAACAAGGGCTTCACTGTACCACCCTTAACACCCTCTCTTCTTTACCCAGTATGAACTGAGTTCTGGGATGCTGCTGGACCATTATTGATCTACTAAATACAGGGCTACAATCCTCAAAGAATAACTTATGATATGCTATTCTGGTATTAATAAATAATTCAACAATTATCGAATATAAATTAATAGGAAATTATTAAAAAGCACAATCTGTATAATTATGCAAAATATAGTAGTGTAGTACAATTATCATTAAATATATTTTTTAAAATTCCCTATAAATTCATCTAATTTTCAATGTAGATTAAGAAATTTGTAAAAGTATATTTGGGCATTTGTATTTATTATAAATCTATTTAAATTAAGGAAAAAATATTCAGAAATATATAAGATAATATAAGAGATTAAATTATACCGTTCAAGAAAAAATTATTACTTTATATAAACCAAATATAATATATGTATAAGTGTGTATGAGCGGAAACAAATATTGTAACCAAATCCATTTATTGGGCCAATAGGCTATAAATTAAATAAATATCTACTATCTAGAATTTTTAATATATACATATATATATATATATTATATATTAACGACCTTTATTTAACAAATATGAAATAGATATCCAAAAACTACAAAAAATAAAATATAACATATTTCCCGTAATTAAATATAACTGTTAAATTTACACATATTTTTGTACTAGACAATATTATCATGGTTGTCATAAAATAATGGTTGCATTTAAGAAAATTTATAAAAAGAATTCAGATCTTGATGTTCTATATAATAAAGGCACATAATTCATATGAAAAGAAAAAATAATCATATGGATAAATATATATATTTTAATATCATATATATATATTTTTTTTTTTTTTTTGAAGTATTAAATATCATTTTAAAAAAAATCATATTGATTATTATTACATTTCTCAGAATTATAATACGATTATTTTTCCTACAATTCACTGTTATTATGTTGTCATCTATATTCTACAGCAAGATAATTTTCACTTATTTAGTATTTAACTTTGATTGTATCAGTAATTAAGCCATAATACCATTAGTATTTTGTTTTTTACAAATTTCACTATACAATAATATTACTATCAAATCTTATTTAATTGTTTTATAATCAAATTAGAAAATATTATGCTGAAAAATGTAGAATAAGCAGCTACACTTTAGATGCTTTTATAAAGATATTTTGAATGTGCCTCCAATAATTTTTTTGCTTCAGATTGTATATTCTGTTCTACTTTGGTTACAATCGATTGTTGACAAATGTCATTCAACAAATAAACCGCCTTTTCAAAATTATTTTCAGCTATGTAGGCTTTACTAAGAAATAAACGATTTTCTAGATGTGGTACAGTTGCTAATTCCTCGGCTTGTTCGAAACTTTCAATTGCCTCTTCGTAGGAAGCATTTGGAGGCTCAGAAAAAAATGTTGATGCTAACTGTTTGGAATATAATTTAAAAATAAAATGATTATATAAAGATATTATATATATATATATATATATATAAATTGTCAACAAATTAATATTACACAGAAACATACTTTTCTTTCAAACCAAGTTAAACCAGACAGTTCAAATTTAAATCTACCAAGTAGATGATGTAGATCAGAATCTTTTGGGCGAATTTTTAAAGCTATCATTACATGATTCTTGAAGACAGTTCCATTTTTTATTTTTTCTGCCAATGGCAGACATTCACCGCGTATACCTATAAGAATAGCATACCACTTATGAAGATCTGCATCCTCTATATCAATAACTCGTTCACAAGCTTTGAGTCCTAAAAAATAAAGATGTGCATAATGTAATTTTAGCTATTAAATTGACCAATAAGTTTATGCGGTTTTTTCCAAGTATTATTATACGGCAAAAACCGTATAAGATTATTAACCAATCTAATAGATTTGTTTGTTCATAAAACTAATAATTTATGGCTAATTGCAAAATTACCTTCACTAATAATTTTATTTTTATGTTCTATATCAGTAAAATTATTAATACAATTGTAACAAGCTCTAGCAAATCTCCATATTACGTCTACATTATGTGGATGTAATTCGATTAATTCTTTTAATTTATAATATGCGGTGTCTTCATTCTCTTCTTCCGTTCCTTCTTGTGCATCAATTTTCATAAGTTCTATTTCCAATTGGTTTATTGATGTTGATTCCCTGTATCACTAAACATATAATCTCTTCCTTTCATGATATACATTTTGGTTTACCAATAATATATATTACATTTTAAAATTTAATAAAACCAAAAAATAATATTGAAACAAATAATAAAATTATTTCTATACTATATTCTACATCGATTTGACACGTGTGACACGAATGACACGTGAATATGTGAACTCATTAAAGATGGAATTATTTAATAATTTTGATATATGTCAAACCTTGATTCAATATCTTCTGTACCATCTTCAACGTCTGAACAATCAAAAAATTCATCATCGGCTATATCTGTTCCTGCTGTAGAATATGAGTCTACATCATTTTCTGTTGAAACATATGTACTATCATTAGAACCTAATGCAGATTTTCTATTCAAAGACGTAGATCTCTTCTTCCTTTTTTGTTGTTGTCTAAAAAGACATATTTTTTATTCATTTTATCATTAATCTCAAATATAATATTATTTTATTTTATATCATTTTAAATTCCTTGTAATAGAAAAATATTACCTTAGGGCTTCTACTTCTTTTTGTAGTTTGGCAAGACTTTGATAAACAGGTTCAAGGCTATTATTCCCTGATTGGTATTTTTGCTTATTGATAAATTGTTGATAAAAAAACATACCAGCCACACTAATAACACCAACAGTAACTCCAATCGCAGCTGCAATTAGAGCCCTGCTTTCTAAATTACTCATTATTCTGTTAAAATAAGAATGATATAAATTTCAATAAATATAACAAGTAGTACACGTTTTATAATGTTTAAAAAAGATTTATACAAAACTACAATACTTTTTTTTTTAAGCAGATGGAAAATGAATACATCTATATCTAGTTTGAGTATTTTCTTCTTTGGTCTTTGTATACTAGCCGTAGTATGCACTGCAAAAGACATGTATTTTTTTTTTATAATTTCATTTATTTTCAAAGTAAAAACAACGAATAGAAATAATAAAAGCTTTTCTCATGCCTATTAAAACTGAAATAAAATTTAAGCAACTGAATAGACCACAAAAAAGGAAATTATTAAATTATTTTTAAGTAGATCTAATTTATAAGTAATTGAAAATTAAATACTATATTCAAATTATCTATTACTAATACAATACAAAATGTATATATATATATATACACACTATATTAGTTTTGATAATTTTTAAAAATTACGATATTACTTTATGTTTTTATTTTTGCTGAGTTGTCACAAATTTGTATTCCATAAATGTTTAAAGTCCATGAATGTCGGCATGGCACTATTCACCAACAATAACTTGACAGAGAAGCTGTGATTAATAAATAAATTATGGAATTATTTATTCAAATGTAGAAATTGTTAGTTTCCTTGTAACGTTTTATCAGTGTTATATTATTTTTATATAAAAAAAAAAAATATATATATATATAAACGTAACTCTCCTATTCCTTTTAAAAATTAATACATCAACTTACCGTGTAAATTTGCACTCACGAAGTTAATATTATATATATAATAAATCAAATTTATAATGTTTTACGATTTATTTATTAACTATATGATATTCGCACGCACAGTATAAAATACAGATCACAATCTTCATCATTTTTACTACCACTTCATAAACATTGCTAACAAAAATCTATTAACCCCGCTTTGTTTTGGAAAACATACTATATCCAATATTTGTGATTCGAATAGTAGGTTCGCAATTATATATATATATATATATATCAAAGCAAAATGGTTGACATCTGGTGTTCGAATCCAAAATATGCATAAATAAGGTCTAGTAATTAAAGTTTGAATTGAAATTTGATTCGTCTTTGACGGATATAGTCTACTTTCTGTACCAATGTTTGTTGTTATTTTAATGTCCTGTGTAGTATAATATCCTGTACTTTAAAAAGCAATGTTCTGTTAGTCGTGCTGTTCAAATTTCAACTTCATACCTTAACTATTCGCTTCTTGCAAATTTAAATATTACCTGGATGAAGTATGTCATTCTGCCTTCTTTCATATTTAAACAGATCAGTATAGTTATTTCACGCACGCACCACCACACACACACATACACGTTTTAAATTAATATTAATAAATCTACAAAAACGACAAGCAGCGCCATTTGTTTCATAATTTAAATTTGGACAATATTTAAAAAAAAATATATTAATGAAAAATACTTTATTTATATCAAGAATTTTCGCATAAATAGCATTAAATAGATAATCTCTTTTTGTTGTTTTTAAAATATATATTGATTTAATCGAAAAATATATTTTTATTAAAAATTGTGTGTGCAAAATATGTCGGCTGGTGAAGTCAAAAAAGAAGAACCTCAATTTATATTTCATACGTATGCTTTATGCAAGGTAGAAATTGAAAAAAATGTGATTAGCATAAAGTTTTTAAATTGTTTAATACTTTTGCAGTCTACAGATATGCCAGAGGAAATGAAACAAGAAGCTATGGAGACGTGTTCTACTGCCGCCGAAAAATATGCTGAGGACTATGAACAAACGGCACGCATGATCAAGGAAAGTTTGGACAGAAAATTTGGCGCGCCTTTTCAAGTTGTTGTTGGAGAATCTTACGCTTGTGCTATAACCCATCAAGAAAATACTTTATTATATATGTTCACGGGTGGGAATATTGCTATCCTTGTTTGGAGAACTATTAGCCAATACAAATAAAATGATTTTCTGTTAATTTTATATTTTGAATTGTTTTTATTACTTTTAATTACTTAGACAAATATACTTATGTAATATTATGTAGAAACATATTATAGGTATTTCTTAATATAATTATATACATAGAACACATGTTATAGTGTTAACTCAATTATTATTTCATTGCATATATGTATATGTAAATATAAATTGTAAATATTATTCGATAACGTTATACTTTTATGGTATTTGGATTTTTGTAAATTTGTTATATTAAAAACAATGATGTTCTTCAAAATATTGTACGAATTGGACTAGAATAATAAATTATATTGCATTTCAGCTAATGCATTAATAAAATGTACAAATCATAAATAAAGATTGACCAGATTTCATGAAAAGTGACTTCTCTTATGTTTGGATAAATAAAATTATGCAGATTTCCAAATGCATATTGCTAAGTTACCAGCGCAATACATGTATAATAAATGTTTCAATTGATACGTTATCTCGAATCCATAACCTTCGCCAACAACTGTATGCCAAGAAGCTCCAAACTTTTTATCCATCGTTTCTTTAATCATCCGAGACACGCTCTCATAATTATCGGCATATTTTTCTGCAGCAGTTACGCATAATTCCATTGCTTCTTGTTTCATCTCGTCCGACATGTCACATTTCTATAAACAAACGTATTTTCATATATTTCATATAAATGTTCTCTACATGTAATAGACATAATACAACAATTATAAAATCAAATCAATAGATTGAAATGTTTAATAAAACAAATATACAAATGAAAAACCTTGCCTGTTTACCAGGCAGAAGTTTGACTTATTGATCAAACGTCTCAAATTTCATTTCTCGTATAAACGGGATACTTTGCACATTGAACGATCGCTACTCACTCTGCAGAGTGGATAAGTGTGTAGAATTTTGAGAACGTCGTCTTTTTTCACTTCTGTCATTTTGAAAATAATCTAATACATTCAGAACAACTCCAAATAGAACGATACCCGATTTGTTACGAAATAGAATGGTTGCCATTTGCCAGGCGTACGCATGCTTCAGAATTGAATGAGTCATTCCAGGAGGGGGTTATTGTTTAGATCCTATTTTATCTTATATCACATACGGAATTATATAGGTTAACAAATCATATTTTCAATAATAAATTATAGAAAATTCATATAAAATACTTTAAAATGGCATCACGATTTAGTGGTGCTTTACAAATTACAAATTTAGATGATTTCATTACTCCATCACAGGTAAACAAAAAATAAAATAAATTTACTGTGATTACAAATCACAGTAAAAAATAAAATTAGAATATATCAAATAGATGATTATTTTAATTTTATCTTTTACTCTTATAGGCTAAATTAAAATTTTTTTCTTTTTTCTAGGAATGTATAAAGCCAGTTGAAATCAAAACGTCTAAAAGCAAAACAGGTGCGAAAATAAAAATTGAAGAAGATGGAGCGTACTATTCATTAAAAGAGGTACATTTTACAATAGTTTTATATTAATATATATATATATATATCATTATAATCATTTATACGTATTTACAAATGTATTAGATAATCTCAATAACTTACTATATTTGATATTTGATATTTTATAGAATAATATCCCGGAAAGATTAGAAAAAGTTGAAATTACATTAGCTGATTGTTTAGCATGTAGTGGATGCATTACTTCTGCTGAAAGCGTGTTAGTTTCGCAACAATGTCCTGAGGATCTTTTAAAAATTTTTCAAGAAAAAGTAAAGCAACAACAAGTAAATAATTCAATGTATAGTAAAATCATGATCTGTAATAATTAAGATATTGTAAATGTATTTTTAATGTAAATTTTTTTCATTAGAATAAGAAAAATGAGTGTTCAATGTTTATAGTAGTAAGTTTATCTGTTCAACCAATATTATCCATGGCACAACGTTATGAATTAAAACCAGAACAAGCTTTACACAAGCTTGCTGGATATTTTTACAAGTTAGGAGCAGATGTAGTTTTAGATATGAGTATCGCCGATGATTTTGCACTTCTGGAGTCTGCTAAAGAGTTTGTTGAACGTTATAAAGTTGCAGAAGAAGGTACTAAAAAGCAATTACCAATGTTAGCATCTTCATGCCCAGGTATGTTTTTTTATTAGTTTTTCTTTTTAAATATAATTTTTTGTTTAAGATAAAATATTTTCTTTATAGGCTGGGTATGTTATGCTGAGAAGACCCATGGTAATTTTATTTTACCATATATAAGTATAACCAAATCACCGCAGCAAATTATGGGATCATTAGTTAAGTATCATTTAGCTGAAAATATGGGTCTTTCGCCAGAAGAAGTATATCATGTTACTGTTATGCCTTGTTATGATAAAAAATTAGAAGCGTCTCGTGAAGATTTTTATAATCATCAAAAGAATAGTAGAGATGTGGATTGTGTTATTACATCAAGTATGTTATTTTTGTATTATATATAATTATTTTTATTTATACCAAATTTATTTTCAGTCGAACTGGAACAAATGCTAAATGAAAGTCATTTAACTTTAAATGATATCGAAGATGGAGAAATTAAAAAACCTTTTGGATTATGTAATGATAAAATAGATAATGATTTATTGAGTCATAAAGGATCTGGATCTGGTGGTTATGCTGATTTCATTTTTCATTATGCTGCAAAGCATTTGTTTGATGAAAATAATGCAACATTAGAATTTAAAAATTTAAGAAATCCTGATTTTCAAGAAGCAGTATTAGAAAAAGATGGAAAAGTATTATTAAAATTTGCAATAGCGAATGGATTTAGGAATATACAAAATCTTGTCCAAAAATTAAAAAGAGGAAAATGTTCTTATGATTATGTGGAAATTATGGCATGTCCCTGTGGTAAGTGTTAATAACTTACTACTCTAATTGTTTTACTCGCATGATAAATCTTTGTATATATAAATATATTAGGATGTTTAAATGGTGGGGCACAAATAAGGCCTCAAGATAATATTCAACCTCGGGAACTTGCATTAAAGCTTGAAGCTATGTATCATGATCTACCAATTAGTACACCCGAAGAAAATCTAGCTGTACATAAATTATATGAAAAATGGTTGAGTGGAGAAAATATAGATAAACCTGCAGCTTATCTTCATACACAATATCATGAAATAGAAAAAATTAATACAGCTCTATCGATTAAGTGGTAAAATATATATTATTGTAAAAATGAATTTTGTAAGTATCTATCTACAGGGTATTTCACCTAAATAGGATCATTTAAATATCTCCTTTCCTTACAATTATATGAACAAATTTTAAAGAAAAAAGTTATACTAATATTAATATAAAATAATGTTCTTATTAACTATAGATTTATCATAATATCTGTATTTGTATGTATATAAAAAGTTGCAGGAATATGACTGTTTATTGATATTACATAATAATAAAATCACATTGTTTGAAGTGGACAGATTGTCTTCATTAAACATCTGATTTCATATAATATATACATTTATATATAAGTTTATAATAATTATATTATTTTAATAATATGTAAATATATAGAACGTATTTAATTGTTTAAATTAATTACAATAACTAATAATACCTTATTACAATAATATATTTATTTATGAGGCCATATTTTTACTTAGATAAAACATTTGAAAAATTAAATACCAAATATTGTTATTTAAGATAAGTAACATTTAATTAATTTACAACTATAAGTCTCTACTAACTGTCCTTTCTTAAGTAATTTAAATATATTTATTTTTTTATATCATTTAAGATAGTTATTTTGGTCTTTTTTTTACATACAATTGTTATATTATATTACTTTTATATCAAACATTAATTTTCATGTAAAATAAATTGTACTAAATGCAATTCAATTATCTTGGCATCTGTAGAATAAGTTTTTTTTATAGTTATAAAAGGATTAACTAATGTTGATATTTTTTTATATGCTATTATTTCAGTTTTATGAAGACAATTTTTAATCCATAAAACATTTCAATTATCTATCCATGTAACATAGACAATGACTTATTTGTAAAATAAAAAACAATACGCAATGCCAGTTAATAACATAATATAAATATTAATATTTATTTTAGCATTTACAATAACAAATAATAAATAAATAACCTCTCATTAATAACAAAAATTCTCTAATGCATCTATCTCCAAAAAAATATAGTACTTTTTCTATGTGATCATAACTTAAAAGCAGCACAAGTTACACAAATTTTAGCACAAATAGTTCTTTTAAACTTCTACCAAGTGCATCAGATACAAGCTTTAATAATACTCATGTGAATTATTAATTAGAAATTCAAATTATATGTTCAACAATTTCAATGTATTAAGATATTTGTCTAAATAGAGTCAGAACTACTACATTGTAGAGTTCTGTGTCAGCAAAACATTCATTAACTCTAACTTTTTTTTCTTCCGATAATATACCTTATAGTTTAAAAAATCCATTGATCATTTGCCTTGATTCCATCCTCCATAAATTATATCCCACACTTATATCACACTTTTATTGTTGAGTAAAAATTATCTAGTATTTTTATTACAAATTAATTCCTCATTTTCATTCATTTCTTTAGATTCTGATTTCTTTAAATCTATGTCAGATGGATAGCCATCTTCAATATACCTAATTGAATCATGATCAGTATTATTATCTTCTTTAATTTCATATGGCTCCATTAACCACCCTTGATTACTATCTATTTCTCTAGAGACAACAAGAAATAATTCCTTTTCCTTACTGTCTATTTGGTCCTTGAGATATACAAGCAATTCATTATCCTATGTAAAATTGTAGTTATATAATAATTGTTATAAACATCAAAATATGATTTTTCATTCAGTTTATATCTATATTTTGTACAGTCAAAAAATGTAATTTTAAAAACTCACTTTTCCTATAAGTTGTGGTGAATCTAACTTTGAATCTAAATTATAAAAGGCACCATGAATTTTTTTCAAGGCAATCCAATGGCGCCTTTTCAATGGGAGTAATACAAAACCCAGTTTATATTCTGTTGGAACATTTAATATAAAGCCTTCAATTTTGTCAAGGCAAAGACACTTTGGATCTCTGTAAATGTGGATATTCACAGAAAATTGCTAATATTACCAAATAATATTAATACGATGTCAAAAGAATAAAAGACATTAAATAAATACTAATACGATCGAAATTTACCTGCGTTTGTCAAACCAAACTGCTTCACGACCTCTTCGTTGTAATGCAGCCATAATAACATTAATGTCATAATTTCCAAGTCCTAATAAAGATTTGTGAGGATTAATCCACACTGCAGGACTTAAGCTATAACAAATTTGATCTAATTCTTGTTTACTAAAATCACGTTCTTGAAATAAATTATTTAATGCGTGTAGAGCACAAAGCTCTTTTACCTATAATCGAAATTAATTAATGATCTTACTAAATAATTATTTCCAATGTTGTGGAGAAAATGTACATATTATTTACTTGTCTTTCATGGTAAATAGATCCAGTCATATCACTTCCTGTATTTGCCACCATCGTAACTACATAATTTCGTCATGTACCAGGAAGGAAAAATTTAAATAAGTATTATAATATAAGTGAAAAATTAATCGGTTGAATACCAATGATGGATTATTTATTTATAACCTCTGTGCATTTGACAGTTTTATCAAGTATTTACTTATAGGTAGAATATTACACTTCGTTTATTTCCATTGGCTATCTCTTAAATCGTAATACATATATATATATATATGTGTTTATGTATATGTATATATATATATACATATATATGGATCGCATAATATTATGATAATATTCTATCCTGATTGGAGAACTTCATTGATACGAAAAGAACGATCCAATCTTTTCTCTGCTTATCATTTCATTCAATTATCGTATACAATAATCGTTAAATATATAGCATAATACTTATTGCATTTCAAGAAATATACATTTATAAATATTTTTTCTAAACTATAAGATTCAAATAATATCGAATTTTTGTATCAGTAAAGAAAGAAAAATGAAAATCGCGTTTGGTAGATTGATGTCCATTGGAAACGCTCCTTTATGTTAAATTGTAAAAGGTCGTACATTAGAAAGTTTGTATGATCCAAAACTATTCAATGATACGAATCATTGCTATTTACAAATAAAACGCGTATTAGAGATTTCGTGTTTAGAAATAGAAGAATAAAATTGATTTTGATAAAATAGTGCTCTCTTGATTTTACTAATACGAATATTTGTTGAAAGGGGTGATCCTTACTTAAATATTGTGCGCCTGAAATTTAAAATGTAATATCACGCAATCATTGACAACTCATTTCGTAATTTCCAAGTGTCAACATGTCAGTTTTCTTTGGTTCCTCTTAAATCCACATTTATAATCAGCTACTATAGGTATTTCAATATATTATTAGTATTATAAAAATATTATTTCATTAAATTCAAGTTGATATTAATTGTAACATATATTTCAATTATTGATATGAAACTATTAATAGATAAAATTCCATTATCGAACGTACAATATGTTCTTATTCACATGTTTCATCAGTTAATTATTGTCAAATTATATCCTGCATATTTGTTTCTACCAGCTATAATTAGATCAAAATGAAAATTTTCATAACAAGCTATAGAAAAAATTATTAAAATTATTTGTCTGAACCAGCAATATGTAAAAAAATATTATTATTATTATTATAAACTTTTTTCACTGATGTTAATAGTATGTGAAAATTGGATTTTTTATTAGTTAATTAAATGATAATTTTACACAATAAGCTATATCTGTTATAAAAATATTGTGAAATTTTTTCAAACTTTAATAATATTCATTTATTGATTTATTCAGGTACGGATTGAAGAAAAGATCGATTACTTTGTATCAAACAAATGTTTCAATGCATTTTGAATTTCTTGAAAATTTGAAGTATAATACATTTAAGAAGCAGTACAATGTTATTTAACCAATAACCAAGTGGTGATATAATTAACAATTTTCGCGTGCATCAGTTATGCATAGATTGAAGTTAATCATTTATAGAAAAAGATTTGGATTTAAATATTGGAAAATGATTGATATCTATATTTGTACATAAAACAATTCAAAAACCGAATATATCTAAATTGAGATAAAAACAATTTATTACTAATTCATAATAAATCGTTCATTTCTAAAAAAATGTCTAGTTCTGGTTCAATTATAACATCGGCTATTGCGCAAACTTCAGGGAAAGAACATCTATCACCAACTATGATAGATTATTCAAGTATCAGAGGAAAGGTATATCTTTCAGATTTTATAAATCTTATAACAAGAAAATATAAACTTTCTAAGAAAGAAACAATTTTCAATTCTAGAATGTATTAGTTAGTCCATCGGAGGATCAATACGAGCTACTGCTTAAAAGACTAAAAGAAAGAATTCATGATGGTGGAAGTGAAACGATATTTGACATTGGTATTGCAGAAGGTACATATCTATGAAATATCAATCTTTTTTATGAAGCTATAGAAAATTGTAATAATAAGTAAGATTATTAACACATTAGGATATATTGCATAATTATTTTATTATACTTGTAGATGGTTCCGAGGATGGATTAAAAGAAGATGAATACGAAGCATCAGTAGCTACTTTACAATCACTTGCTGCTACATTAGAAGCTGATTGTGTACTCTTACGTCAAAGTAAAGTAGATCAAGGCTTAACAGGGCAATGCCTTGTACGAAGGCGGCTGGACCTGCAAGATTTTCTCGAAATTAGGTTTTTAAAAATAAAAACATTATTTTAAATGTTAACTTATAGAAAAAAAAATAATTATTATATAAGATGCAGTGAAATGCTATTAAAAATTTTGTTAAGAATATTCAATGAAATCTTTTAGAGTTGCTGTCGTTGGTAATGTGGATGCAGGAAAATCAACACTTTTAGGAGTACTGACACATGGTGAACTAGACAATGGAAGAGGTTTAGCTCGTCAAAAATTATTTCGCCATAAACATGAAGCTGAAACGGGACGGACTAGCTCCGTTGGAAATGATATACTTGGATTTGATAGCGTTGGTATGTATTAAAATCAATTTTTCCATTGCATTTCAATATGTTCATATCATAAAATACATATTTGTATTTTAGGAAATGTTGTTAATAAGCCAGAACACGGTTCTTTAGATTGGGTAAAAATCTGTGAGAAATCATCCAAAGTTATAACATTTATTGATCTCGCTGGACATGAACGGTATCTTAAAACAACTGTTTTTGGAATGACTGGACATGCTCCAGATTTTGGTAAGCTGTTTTAGTAGAATTAGTACAATATTTTTTTATTAAAAATATTTTGTGTTTAAGGCATGTTAATGGTTGGAGCAAATGCTGGTATTGTTGGAATGACTAAAGAGCATTTAGGATTGGCTTTGGCTCTTTCGGTACCTGTATTTGTGGTAGTAACAAAAATTGATATGTGTCCACCAAATGTATTACAAGAAAATTTAAAATTGCTTATAAAAATATTGAAATCACCTGGCTGTAGAAAAGTTCCAGTCATAGTAAAAACTCCAGATGATGTTGTTGTTAGTGCAACTAATTTTGTATCAGAACGGTTAGTTTATCTAATATAGGTTACAGAAACTTGTAGCTATAAATTATGAGTGATATTTGTATCTTATTATAATTTAATCTGTATTTAAACAAAAAAAAAAGAAATTTCAATATTTTACTTTTTTATAATATAGATTATGTCCTATTTTCCAAGTATCTAATGTGAGTGGAGAAAATTTAGATCTTCTTAAAATGTTTTTAAATCTTCTGACTGCTAGAATAACTAGTCATGATGATGAACCGGCAGAATTTCAAATTGATGATACTTATTCTGTACCAGTAAGTACAAACAATAATTTCTCTTGCTATCCTCAACAAAAGAATGTGAAATATCTTTAAGTAATATCTATTTATATAATGTACGTTTATTCTCTCTCTCTTTCTCTTTTTAATTTTTTCTTTTTAATTGAAATTTGATAATCCTTAGGGCGTTGGTACTGTAGTGTCTGGTACAACTTTGAAAGGTGTAATTAAATTAAATGACACTTTGTTATTGGGGCCTGATCCGTTGGGACATTTTATACCCATCACTGTAAAAAGTATCCACAGAAAAAGAATGCCAGTTCGTGAAGTAAGAGGAGGTCAAACAGCAAGTTTTGCTTTAAAAAAGATAAAAAGATCACAAATTAGAAAAGGCATGGTGATGGTTGCACCAGCTTTAAATCCTCAAGCATGCTGGGAATTTGAAGGCGAAATTTTGGTGTTACATCATCCTACAACGATCAGTTCTCGATATCAAGCAATGGGTAAATTAATTACATTTGTTTTATTTTTGTATATATAAAACAATAAAACATTTCATATTTCATTATATATTATAGTTCACTGTGGAAGTATAAGACAAACTGCTTCTATTATCTCAATGTCCCAAGATTGTTTAAGAACAGGAGATAAAGCATTGGTACACTTTAGATTCATAAAGCATCCTGAATATATAAAACGTGGCCAACGAATAGTTTTCAGAGAAGGTCGCACTAAAGCAGTAGGAAATGTATCAAACCTTATTCCTCATTCTAATACCATGAATACACAAATATTCAGAATCAACAAACCAAATAAATCACAAAGCAGATTACATAATTCCTCTCTGAATCAAGTAAGATTAATAATTAGAAGAGCATATAATAAAATAAATATTACAATGTAACTTTGATGAGCAATTTTTTAATTCAAATTGTTTGCTTTTAGCCACAAGAATTAAATGAAACAAGTTCAACATTTGAATTTCAGAATGCAAAGCAAGAAAATATGCTACAAAAATCTGGCACATCTCAAAACAAAAAAGGTATAGGTCGAAGAGGTAGATCTCACAATCTTATCAATGCTAGTGTACAACCTCTGTCAGAGCAAAACCCTCCTACAAAAATATAAGATATATTTATATACAAAGTATATATATAATGATTTTAAGAAAATCTTTAATGTTTTAGAATAAATAGATTTTTTAGACAAGAACATTTCTTAAAAAGTTATGTTTGAATAGTTTTAAACAAGATTACTGTTTTTGAAATCTTATTTTCCTATGTAAAAAAAAAAGAAAAAAAAAAAAAAGAAAATTAATTCTTTAAAGTACTTTAATACTAATAATAACAAATAAAATAAAATTTGTTATGAATTTAAAATTGAGAGTTAATTTTCGTAGTAAAATAATTACGAATTTTACTATAAATTTATAAAATCTTGCCTCGTTATAACTACTTATCAAATTTAAATAGGCGCAAGCATGTCTGCACAATTGCACAAAGTTTATTGAAATATTTACACATCCACACACACAATTAATATTATTTTCAGTAAAAATAAATATGTTTTTTGTAGATTAAATGTTATTTTAATTATACTTATAATTTTTATTTAGATTAATGCCTATATGAAATATAGACATTATAATCTTTAAAAGTATATAAAAAACTAGAAGATTGAAAAGACAATCAATGTGAGAAAATATAATTAAATTATATTAATATTCAAGTTCGAGGGATATACAAATAAATCGATATCTTATTTGTACGTTGGCATTAATATAAAAATAAATATCGACTTAAAATTACATTGTTTGTTTATATTTTTGAATATATAAAGTGATAGTTGATAAATAGTAGCATTTTTCAATATTTAGTATCTACAAACAGAGTTATGTTCTCTTTAAATTATAAGTTATCATATACACAAATTATCATTGTAATAATGATGTAAAAAACAATTAAAATTGAGAATACTGGGAGACATGCTTGTATGTAGAAAGTAAATTACGTGTATTTTAGAATTTTTATTTATAATATTTAAAAGTTAACAGTTTTTGTATTGAAACGTTATTTTGGAATAGCGATTAATGATATAAAAATGGACCAAATATTTGACCAAACAATCGAGTATTTTTTCTTTTTTGCAAAATTTGTATTGAAATGGACTTGACCTCTTGATAAAAAAAAAGCTATTGACACAAAAGATTATTATCATAAATTATTAAAAAAAATAAGCTGTACTTATATATAGATACGCGTGTTCTATAATTTAATAAATATATAAATAAATAAATCTTTATAATTTATTTTCTTTTATTATTTGATATTTTTTTCTATCTTTTCTATTTTTATTATTCATTATTTTTACCAAAACTATTATAAAATTCTGCAGTTTTTTTGTAATTATCTAATTATATATCTTCCTAAGATAATGGTATAATTTTTTTGTATATACAAAAGAATACTGAAGGCACACACATGTTTATACACTAAAAATTAAATATAATTTTTTTAATTCTATTATAATATAACTATACTATATCATGTAGAATACTGTATTCTTTGATAGTATTGCATCGTCATCGCCTACTTTCACCCACTGGTGGTCCCGGTAGTAACTTATAAGATGAATCTGGTTAGATAGAAAAGGGGACTTGTGAGCCTCTATGTATTTCTGCAGTTTTTTGTAGATACTATAAAAGTTTGTTTATATTAGCTATCAAAAAATGTATGCGTTTATTCTAATCAGAAATATTTATTAATCAAGACTACATAGAGAGTATTGAATTATTTCATTGATAAGAATTTCATGCTACGAATAATTTGACTATTAACAAATAGACATTGAGTCATTAAATCGTATTAAATTCCTATACCCAGTATTCACATAGTCATGTATTTACTTCTTTTTAAATTGTTTAATTTGTTTTAGTTCATTTTTCATATTGTTGGCAATATTTTTTAATATCTCTAGAGCTTCTGATGGAGATTTTAATTTATTGTTTTTATTCATTGATTTTGATTGTGTAAATAAATAAACTACGAATCTAGCAGTTTGTCTAATTGGTTTAGAATCTGCTAGCTTGTTGATTAATTGTTCATTATTCGATAAATAGCGCATAATAAAACGTATAATGCCCATGTTCAATAGCTTTTATAAAAATTATTTCTTATAGAAAAAGTATCAATATTTATATTTTAGGTACTTCAAATGTGCACATATTACGATATTTCAATAAAAGTTCACGCTTAAGCCGAAGTTGTTTACGAAGCGTTTCAAGTTTTTGTAACTGTTCTTCTTTACTATATTCTATTCCTGGTAACCGCTTAATCTGGAAGACAAAATAAACTTTATCTTTAAAAGCTGTCTTTAATAATATTTGTATATAAATATAAATGTCTGTTTAAAAATAAATCTTATACATAGACACATAGTGCGCGCACGTACTAGATAATCATTATGTAGTAAAACAACATATACTTATAAAATAATTATTACCTGAGTTCTCGCGGAATCTAATTTCTTTTGCAACTCTAGTATTTTATGACTAGTATCTTGTGATTCTTTTGCTTTTTGAGTTGTATCATGAGGATCTTTTTCCACACTGAAAATAATTAAATGATCATCTTTAATTACATTAAATTATAATCATAGATATACCCTATAAAATAATAACCCAATTTATATTAAAAAAAAATGTTTTTTACTGTGTTTTTCAATTATGTCATAAATAATTATATTATGATAATAACTTTTTACTTGCCATTTTATTTTTTCTAACCTTAAATAAAAGTAGAAAATATCTTATACGTATTATTATATGAAATATTAAACAATTATTAAACATAATAAAACGGGTTAAATCATGAATTTATATATAATAACAGATTGGATGCAAAATTATTTCAACTTATGTAAAGATATGTATATAAATAATATTTAGATATAGAATACGTTTTCGTAGCTAGTATAAAACTGAAAAACAGCACAGTAACTAAAATACATACCTTCTTAATATGTCATAAATAAGAGGTAGTATCTCAATATCTAAATCATCAACTGTAAATGAACTCCTCATAGGGCTTTCTTCCGTTAGCTCTGAAGTTTCCATGATAAAAATAAATTAAAATTTGATATATTATAGGCCAGCATCCCTGAACTATTCAAATTTAATGTAAATCTATATATATTATAATATATTGATACAATATCAATATATGAAACATAATAACCAAAATATATTACATATATCAGGCCATAAACTACATTACTTTAAGTCATTCTTTCAACGAATGAAAAAGTTCGTCCGATTAGAGCGCCGCAGCGTTCGATCGCTCGAATGTCGGGGGAGTGATTGCCCCATCTACTGATAGAATAAATGATAGAGTAGTATAGTTAGAATCAACTTCACATCTTTCCTCTAGACAACGTTTATGACTTAAATAAATATCCTGTCTTCTGTGTCAAGCCTCGTTACAGGTCGGTAAGATTTTATTGTAAGTTATTATTAATAATCAAGTGACATCGTAGAATATATTGTATATTTAATAATTTATTGTGATATAAACTTATTTGATAAATAGTTATATGAAATATTTTCAAATTTAATATTTTATTTTAAAAATTATAGACGAAAATGGGGCGCCGACCAGCTAGGTGGTATGTAATCATTTATAGATATTGCAACATATTTTTATTATAAAAAGAATAAATTTTCATAAATTGTCCATATGTAACAGTAGTTGTGTGACTTAGAAATATGATTGGAATTATTATATTGCACATTATGTGCATAGTGTTTTTTTTTAAACAAAAAAAGAAATTAAATTAAATTAAATAATATTACATTACGTTTCAGTTATCGCTATTGCAAAAATAAACCTTATCCTAAATCAAGATTTTGTCGTGGTGTACCGGATCCAAAAATCCGTATTTTCGATCTGGGAAAGAAGAAGGCTTCTGTAGAAGATTTCCCATTATGCGTACATTTAGTGTCTGATGAATATGAACAACTCAGTTCAGAGGCACTTGAAGCAGGTAGAATCTGCGCCAATAAATATATGGTTAAGAATGCTGGTAAAGATCAGTTTCATATTCGTATGAGACTCCATCCTTTCCATGTTATCCGCATTAATAAAATGTTATCATGTGCTGGAGCTGATAGGTAAACAAATTTTATTTCCAAGATCGTATATTTATTTTGTTGAATTATAATTTTTAATCAAAGTTTATACAGAAATTAAAAGAAACATTATTTTTTGTATAGACTCCAAACTGGAATGAGAGGTGCTTTTGGTAAACCTCAAGGTACTGTAGCCAGAGTACACATTGGCCAACCTATTATGAGCGTACGCTCATCAGATCGCCATAAGGCTGCTGTAATAGAAGCTCTACGTCGTGCAAAATTTAAGTTCCCTGGTCGTCAGAAGATTTATGTATCTAAAAAATGGGGCTTTACGAAATATGATCGTGCTATATATGAAGAATTGAAAGTAGCTGGTCGTCTTGCTCCAGATGGTTGTAATGTTAAATATTTACCTGAGCATGGATCACTTGAAGATTGGAAAAAATTCCGAAAAGTTCTTGCTACAGCATAAAGAAAATTTGTGAAAAATAATTTAAATAAAAAAGTAAATAAATATTTTATATTGCCATCATTTTATCCTTGAATCTCTAGTTAACGTACCTAAACCTAGTTAACGTAACGTTCATCACCGTATACGGTGATGAAATTGGCAAGTTTTATTTGAACAAAAATCATAATTAGATTTTTGTAATTAAAAAAAAACATTATTATTTTAAAATACTGATATTACATAAATTTATATATTTACAATCTCATCAGTACTTACGTTAACATCAAAATACAATTTCTATACTAATTTGAAATAAAGTATCGAATAAAATGATGAATAAATTACAATATATACATGATAAAGTATGACGATGATTTTTAAAGAGAGCATAATGCGTATTTCCTTAAAAATTATTATATCCTGCTGCAGTTTAAGATTCTACAAATTAATGAGAATGACATGTAATGTTATTATCATCATTTTCTGTATTTTGAATCTCGTCATCAATGTCATCACATATTCGATGATTATGAACATCTAAAACTTCAGTACTGGTTGCTGCATCTAACAGCGGAGATAATTTTTCTGCTTCGCTATCTTCGTCTTGTCCTTGGCCCTGTAAATACTAATGTATATGGTTGACATAAAAAGAAAATTGTATCTATAATACAATTTTGATACTATAGAGAGTTGAATAAAATTTGAATTATCATGTGTATAATGAAAAAACAAAAAATTCTACAACTGTAAAACTTACTTCGTACAATGAAACAGGTTGTTTTTCATTGACTAATCTGAGAGTATCACGTGATCTTAGACCGGATTTATCACGAGAATGCCCAGATTTGGTTCTTACTGCAGGGGATCGGGTATGTAAATCTTTTTGTGATCCTGAATTTTCATCTCTCGCAAGAAGAACTGACATTCTAAATTCTGGAGTGGGACATGGAGTACCACTAGTTCTAGCACTCATATCTGCATCCTTGGAAGACAAATGCTTGGAAATAGGAGTACGTTCGGCCGATCTGCAAGAAAATATTTTTAATTGAATAAATTATTAATTAGAGTATTCCCCCTATACAAAATTATTTTTTAATATACACTGATACATCAATATTCTAAATATACCTATTCAATGCTTCTGCAGCCTGAATAGCGCTTGCTGTGTCTGTATCGGGTGTATCAGGAGATTCAGGTGCAAGGACAGCAGTTCTTGGAGGATATGGACCATTTAAGGCTTCTATAAGTGATACTGCTTCGTAACCTGCTGGAATATTTTCGCAACTACCCTACAAGTTTAAGAATATTCAATTATGTTATATTAAATATTATATATTATTTGTAAAAAGTATAACGCGTTTACCTCTGGTATTGGTGGATTGGATATAATAGTCCCAGTTGCTTTTTGAAGTGCTTTAATTTGTAAGAGAGCTCGGAAAGGAGCACGACAAATAGGACAATTGTTTGCTTGATATCGAAGGGAATCAGCACAACCATTGCACAAACACAAATGTCTGCATGGTAGAATTAAAGTATCACGGACATCACACATACAAATCACACATTCAGAACCATTATCGTCTGTATCTTCGTCACTGCCTTGTTGCTGTACAATAGTATTTTTTTAATGATAAAAATACGTAGAATATGTTTAATTAATAGAAATATATTAATATATTAATTTATACCTTTGCACTTTCAGTGTTTTTATTCTCAATTCCATAAATTTCTTGCAATAAATAACAAAGTCCATCTACATAAAGTTTTTGCTTAAGTGCTTTTAATACATATGTTCCATCCGAATGTTTTTCTACTACTGCAATGGTTGTGTGAGACTGTTTTGGTTCGTCTGATCCTTCCTCTGCTATACAATATATTGCTATTGGAATAATCTGTTAATGTAAGAACAAAAGATCGAAACGAATAAAATACAGAATAACTTTCTTGTATTTTAAAACATTATATTGGTATTACATACTTCTCTATCTGCATTGTACATTAAATCATCTTCGTTATAAAGACTTGGATCAAATATATGGGACGTTTGAGAGAACAATTGATTAGCACCCTTTTTGTAGTGATATGTTTCAGAATTCATAGAAGGATCTCTCGGTACATATCTATAAAAAATATTTTTATTTGTAATATATGATTTTAAAAATTATTGACAATGTTACATCTACTCTCTCTCTCTCTCTCTCTCTCTCTCTCTCTCTCTCTCTCTCTCTCTCTCTCTCTATCTGTCTTAGATGAAAACTTGAAGAAAATAATACATACGTAACCCCTTTGGTTGTAACTTCTTCTGTACAAAAATAATATATTGTGATAGCACATCTAACGTCGCAATCAAAAGTAAATTCAATATTGAAACGATTTGGTTTCTTGTCAGCATCGCTATCACCATAACGTTTTACATTATGACACTGTGAGGATGTTGAAGTTTGATCCACATTTCTTACCAATCTTAATGACTCTTTTCTGATATTTACTAAACTTTTTAATGTTTTTGTAGGGTCATTTGTTTGTGGTGGAGGATATGGAAACTGTAACATATACTTTTACTTGATATATTGTGCAAATTGTTAAACATTTTTATGAAATGAATTGAATTATTCATACAGGTGTTGGTCGACTGCCTAAAAAATTTAAATCTGCATTTTCTCCAAAAAGGTATGCTTCTGGTTGTGTAGTATCGAATCTTTCACCACCCATAATAAAATGACTACCAAAATAGCTTCCTATATTGTAAAAAAAGATAATTTTTATTTTTATATATTATATATATAAATTTATTTATTATATTATAAATGAATGATAGTAAAAATATTAATTTTCTACAGAAAATATATATATCTACAAATATAAATATCTTAAATTTATTAGTATATATATGTAAATATACACTTTATATAGTTTAATTTCATTTTATTCTAATAATACTTAATCATTAATATAAAATAAAAAAACATATATATTATACTAACCAGAGCGTGGAGGATATTTATATGCATGATTTGAAACAATATCAACTTCTTCTACACCAGCATTTTGTCTGCTTGTTAATGATCCCATTATTTAAGTGTAAAAAAAAAAAAAAATTCGCGGTAGTATTAAACGGTACTAAGTTTGAAATATTATTTCAATTCTAATTGTTTATAATATGTTGTAATTAAAGAATTGTTATTTTAACGTTTAACCCAATTTATAGTTCAATTCAACTTAGCAAAGGTAAGCAAATGAAGCTCTATACAAGGAGGACGAATTTGTGTTGTTGAAAATAAGTAAATACCAAGTACAATAATTCTCCACGAGGGCGGCGGTGGTGTTCAGGAGTTCAGATTTAGGGTGTGTTCCACTAAGCGCTCACAACGATCAAAATGCTCCTTTAGTCGTTCCACATAACGATCGCGGTCGTTGTGGTCGCGGCGAAAACGTCACTCATGAAATCATTACTAACGCTCACGCGAAGCTCACAACGACCCATCTGAAAACGTGGGTCGTAGTGAGCGTTGAGAAAATTAATGGTTTTTTCGAAACTGACAACAATAAAAATGGCGACCGTGAAACTGACATGAAGGATTACAGATTAAATCTTAACCTCTTTAATCTTTTACTTTCTTTTCACTACCTCGCCATTTGTATTATTACCTCCACGCTCAAAACGCACCATAGTCCATTCCACTTGAATTTACGACAGTAACGCTCGTAGGTAAGTGGAACGGGAAAAACTGTGGTCGTGAGCGTGATCGTTGTGAGCGCTTAGTGGAACGCACCCAAATAGTTCTCTTCGATGTTTTTTGTTTTTTGATCTGATCCGTCGAATCGACGCGCTCTCTAGTGGCAATAGAAATCATCCTCTCATAATGTATATACGTTGACACATTTATAACACTGCGATCGTCCTCCTTGTATATAGGCTTCGTGGGTAAGCACACAAAACAATAAATTAATATGATAATGATAAATGATTTAAATAATTTATATCGGAATCTTTTAAAGACTTTATATTTCTTACTTTTTAAATAACATCATGAGTTCTGACATTTAAATGATAAGTTATCATCGATAGATCAAAGAGTCAAGATGAATTATCGTAATTTTCATATAAATAGGTGAACACAAATTGTGCTAACTCTAATATCAACGATTCAGAATTACATATCAGTATAATCCTCTCAATTCTTAAACTTAACCCTTTTATCGGTTGTTATCTTTTCATACGTGATTTTCGCAGGGTTACAATTATTTTCTGCAAATATACGTTCTTATCACATTTTTCATGTATTGTACGACCACACAACAAAATATTTGTGTCACGTGGAAGCTAGATCTATAAGGATTAATATCGACAATAAGATATAAATTGTTTATTAGAATCCAACTGTGTAGTCAATTGTTTTTATATGAAACATATTGAGATATATCTTCTTTTATCATATTAATCATTATATAATATAATTTTTTTTAACTGTTATATAGTTAAGAAATATCTTATATATTATATCTATTTTTAATCTTTGTTAATATATAAATGTTATACAAAATTGTTTAATTTATTGATAAAATAGAAACGGTGAAGAATGAAGTCACGAAAAATTTTAATGCGAAGTAATACCTATGGAAAATTTATTTCATTCAATAAGTATGTATACAAAATGGTTTTTGTAAATTGAAAGTAAAAATAGATAAAAATGGGTGATTAAGAAATAATAGTAAATAATAAATGATACATTCGTTTGAACATAATAATCCGTTTAATTAAAATATTATAATAATATTAAATATATTTCTCTAGCATTTCAGAAACATTTAAATGTGTAATAAACAGCGTAAGATTTGGATCTACTATAGATCCCAAAGAAATTGAATTTTTTGAAAAAATGAGTAATGATTGGTGGGATCCCAATGGTCATTTATTTCTTCTTCATCAATTTAATCGCAATAGAATACAATTTGTACGAGACGGCTTAGCTAACACAGGAATTATTAAAGGTGATACAAATTTACCATTAAAAGGTACTAAGATTTTAGACGTCGGATGTGGTGGTGGAATATTGTCCGAACCATTAGCCAGAATAGGAGCTGAAGTTACTGGAATAGATACTTCGTTGCAGTTGATAGATGTTGCTAAGAAACATGCCTTATTAGATTCTGACTTATTAGGAAAATTAAATTATGTTCAAACTACTGTCGAAAATTTTGAGAAAGAAAATAAAGAGAAGTATGATGCAGTTGTAGCTTCAGAAGTCATAGAACACGTTATCGATCCACAATTGTTTCTTAAAGTAAGTATTTATGACATATACACGAATCAAATAGATTAACCCGTTATCCACCAAGCTGATATTGATTAATTGTCGTTTCCATACCATGTGTACCAAAAATGATACAAACTATAAGGCTTAATAAATTATATATCATTTGGCATAGAAATGAGTTTCTTGGAAATGGTACACATGGCAAGGAATACGTTAAATAGCATGAAAGCACAAGAATTCTTTTATAGTTCTTTATTTTGAACTATCAATTATAATTAGTGTTGTTCAGCAATTGTGAAGCCTGGAGGGTCGCTGTTCATTACTACACCAAACAGAACTTTGTTATCTTGGTTGAGTGTAATTATTGCAGCAGAATATATACTTAAATATGTACCGATGGGAACACACGAATGGAATAAATTTATTTCGCCAGAAGAAGTTCAACGTTTGCTAGAAATTTGTAAGATACTATATATATATATATATATATATATATATATGTATACATACGCATTATATATAGATCGATAAGATTATTATATAATTATAAATTCTTAGTTGTATTATTCTGACAAAATATTTTCTCCTATTAGATGGTTTAAAAACTAAACTGATTCATGGATTAATATATAATCCATTAAAACATGAATGGATTTGGTCATCGAATACTTCGATGTTTTATGCTCTTCATGCATTCAAAAAATAAATGGTACAAACTTTTTATATTACTCGTATAAAAATATTTCTTTCTTTTCACTTATACTATGTAATTTAGAGAATGTGGGGAAAAAAACAAATTAAAATGAACTCTTTTTATTATTATTATTATTATTATTATAAATGTATAATATAATTTATATATGTATTTATACATACACATCAATTTATATATATGTATATTAAATTAAGAATCATTATTAAAAAATTGAGTCTTCAGGATATGTAACGCCAATTTGATTTCGAAGTTCATCTTCTAATTGTGCAATTAATATAGATGTCTCGTGAGTCATGAGTGGGTGTTCTACCTTACCTATACAGAATACATATATAGTTGTTAAATAAAAAAGCAATGTTATATCAAGAATTGATATTAACTGTTTGAGTCCTAGATGTATTTAGAAAAATCGTGTTCAATAATGTAGCTTTTGGACAAAAGATCTAAACAGCATGATTTTATTACTTGGGACTCAATGGTTAAAAGAGTGGAATACCTTTTTGAAGACACAAACGAACTGCATTCGCTTCATAATATAATCCCTCGCTATTTTTGAAATTCATTTTATATTCAGATTCCGGTAATGGAATTTGGGAATGCTGCCCTGGCAAATATAGTTCAGTAGGACACCAAAAATTTGGTACACGTATTGTTCCTTTTTCTCCATAGATATAAGCTTCGTTAGACAAAGTTACTAAACTATGCGTTAAAATAGTAGCTGTTATGTTTTCATCGTACAAAAGTGTTGTAGAAGTTGATACGTCTACTCCATCTTCGTTTACGAATCCAGTAGCTTTAATCGTATGAGGCATTTTATTATTAAAAATCATGCAGAGAAATTGTAGACAATATACACCTAAATCCAATATGGTACCACCACCCAAGCTCTTCTTACTAAAATTATCATAGAGAACTTATAAAATATTAATTTATATAATAATTATTTAGTTTAATTACAGATGCGATCAAATATAAAGTGATATTATTAATATATAATAAAAACAAATAGTTTTATTTACGTACTTAATTCTTTCAACATTTTCTAAATTAAATCCAAGTGGAATAATAACTTGACGAATTTTTCCTATATTGCCGGAATCAATTTCTTTTTGAATGATTGTATAAGATGGGAAAAAACGACTCCAAACTGCTTCCATTAGGAAAAGATTTTTACTTCTAGCAAATTTTATCAACGATTTCGTTTGGTTCATATTCATTGTTAATGGTTTCTCGCAAAGTACATGTTTACCATGTTCTAGCATAATCCTTGCTAATTCATAGTGTGTTGTATTCAACGTACCAATATATACAATCTCTGAAAAAATATAACAATTAAGAAAGTTAGCTTTTTATTCCTTTACACGCATATTTTAAATATAATAACGTAGTATTACATACGAATATCTTTATCTTTTGCTAATAACATATAACTACTATAAGATTTTTTAATATTTAAATCTTTTGCGAAATTTATCGCTCTCGAAAAATCTTTTGCAGCAACAGCAATTACTTCATGCTCTTCTTTGGACGTTATACTCGCTACAAAGTCATGCGAAATTTTTCCAGCGCCGACTATACCCCAACGAGTGGCCATCTAATTGGAAATATAAACTTTTAGATAATGTATTCACTTCTAATGTTGACTTTATTAATATAAATAATACTAGAACGCTCATTATTTATCTTTGATAAAATAATATTGATTTTACATAAATTTCTCTTTATTGATATAAAAATCTGTATCGTGAATCTGATAGTTATTACAATTAATTTATTACTTATTTTGCAAACGTTACTTTAAATCGTTTTAATCTATCTTTGACACAATCGTCGGATAATTATTGTATTAAATAATAACCTTGATATATCCCTAAGATAAGGAAGTATATATTGTAGATGTGATAAAAGGATAAGCACAAAATGTTTTCTTATCTTTCCAGAGTTATTCACACACACAGAGCATGAAGCTTTATAAATGTCATATAATATTTAAATCATCGATAATATAATACATATACATGAAACATCATGTTGAGTAAAAAAACTTTGAAAGCGCGGCATTCTTGAATAATCCGACAAATGAAAATTATTAGACAATTATTATTTTTAAAATCACCACACTATATAATACAATTATTAATACAATAATAAAATTGAAATAATTAGTCTAAATAAAAAAAAAGTAGAAAAATAAAAAAGTACGATCATCAATTTACAACGTACTTTTAATGGAAAACTACCTTAATGACTCAAATGTTATTAAAACAAATCTGTGTGTCGTGCAAGGAATCCTTTTATTCGGCTTAATTTTTAATTTTCCATCTCAAATTAATCGTTAGAATTGTATTGAATAATAAAAAATACAAATGTGCATCGTTAATGTTCATGGTTGATGAAAAATTGAACAACCCAATGATATTTGTGTAAAAGTATCTAATGACCGCAGTTAGATACACGTCACGTGATAGATTATACACGTTGTCCAGTCACGATCGAGATTTTCGTAAAGGAAAAGTTCGTTCGTCGTCGTAATTCATTAAACAATACATTCGTGTTTTTCCGATATCATGCGCAATGTTGATCATTATCACATAATTTATTAAATTATTGAAATAATCGTGGGGAAAGTCGCGTAATAGGCTGACTTGATCGAATTTGTTTATAATTCTGCACTGTCATTTTCGATTTATTCTATCAATTTCTCACTCTCAAATCTGATTTCGAAGTGAAGTTAACATGGACGGTAACAAAGATGAGGCAGAAAGATGTGTCGATCTTGCGGAACGTTATATTCGAGAAAAAAAATTCGAAGATGCGGAAAAATTTATACGCAAGGCACAAAAACTTTATCCGACCCAAAAAACAGATGGTAAGGAATAAAAGTTCTCGTATGATTTTTCTTACTTCAGATTTTTAATAGATCACTCATTTACTCCTATAAACAGTATTAATTACATTTAATTGAGTGCAAGATTAAGGGTGCGTAGAGAAATGTAATTAATATTGTCATTTAAATATAGAGTATTTGTTCTTGTAATATAATTAATCACGTCGCAGAGTGTATCGTTAAGGGCCAAGTAGAAATACAAATAATAACCTTTGTTGTTTAATCTATAGAAGAGATGACTTTGTATATTATTTTGATAGATCTATTAACAAAAGTAACAAATTTATTAAAACAAAATGGAAAAAGTGAATCAGAGCCTACCGTTAGAAAGAGGCATACCGCTAATAAAGAAGGCTCTCAAGCACAGGCTACTGTCGAATATACAAAAGATCAACTTGAAGCAGTGAAAAGGCATACACCTTTTATATATACATATATATATATATATATATATATATACCTCTTTAATATATCATTTTATTCTATTTAATATTTACATATACATTAAAGTACAATGAAAATTATATTGTTTAACATAAGAGTATAATCTTAAATAATTACAAATAATACAGGTTTGTCATTGTTTAATCTAATCAAACGTTTATAGAATTAAGAAATGTAAAGATTATTATGAAATTTTGGGAGTAAATAAAGAGGCAACTGATAGCGATATCAAAAAAGCTTACAAAAAATTGGCGCTTCAATTACATCCTGACAAAAACAAAGCACCAGGAGCTGCAGAATCTTTTAAAGGTAAATCATCTTAACAAAAGATTATTTAACGACATAAGATAAATAATAGATTAAAAATGTGTTATATAATTTTTAAATTAAGCTATTGGAAATGCTGTTGCTATTCTTACGGATGTTGAGAAACGGAAACAATATGATCTTTACGGTCCCGAAGAGGAAAGACTACAAAGTAGCCAAGCTCGTCAGACTCATACGCATTATAATTACACGCGAGGTTTTGAAGGTAATTTGAATATTTAAGTATTTTTAATGAAAATGTTTATTTAAAATGTTTATTAAATATTATTTAGCTGACATCACTGCTGAGGAATTATTTAATATGTTCTTTGGTGGAGGAATACCTCAACAAGAATTTTATATGAGACGTACAGGTGGTAGATGGATGAGACAGCAAGAAACACAATCTCAGAGCTCTCATTCTCAGGTATCAAGAAAAGTAGAAAATATTAATATTTCAATATTATATAATGTATTTTTTTTTTTGAAGATAATTATAAATAATTTATAATCTTTTAGCAAGCAACTGGATATACGACGTTTGTCCAATCATTGCTTCTTTTGTTGTTAATATTGATATCTATGATGAGCAGTTTTTTTATATCAGATCCTATATATAGTTTACATCCTAGTGCGTAAGTATTCATTATTATATTGCAAGAGTGATTTTTTTTATTAAATATATGATTTTTGAGATTATAAAAACGAATAATACATTGTGAAATTTATTATCAAGATGTTAACATTTTTCATTCCTTTATTAGCAAATATTCTATAACAAGAAAAACTCAAAAACTTAATGTACCATATTACGTTAAAGAAAATTTCCATACCGAATATCAGGGCAGTTTGCGTCGATTAGAAATATCAGTTGAGGAAGAGTATTTGTTGACTTTAAGACAAGACTGTTATAGGGAAAGAAGTTACAGTACGTTAAAAATAAGTATAATATTTTTGTATTATAAAAATATTCTATATTAATACTCAATCATTCTCTTATTATTCGTAGGAGAAGCGATGTTATGGAAAGCTCGTAGTTTTCAAGATTCGGAAATGTTCGAAAAAGCTAAACGTATAGATACACCTTCTTGTACAAAACTACAAGGATTGCAAGTTCAATAGCGTATACATATAACTCATTAGAAATTGTGTTGTTGTAGATAAATGTATAATATATTCACAAGTACATATTTCTTTTGAGTGTGATGCAGTATATTTTGAGTTATATGTTTATATCTATTATCCATAAATCGCGCGCCTTGCATAGCCTGTTATTAATTATTACGTGGACCATGCATGATGTTTGATCTGTATCTATGTCAAATTGTTAAATTTTTTTCCTAGATGATTAAATTGTAATGGCAACTTTGTGCTATTAAAATAATATTTAATTTAAATGATACATATATAGCTAGATAAAAGGATTCATTTAAATTTTTGTTCGATTATTCAAATAATTGTATAGAGAATATCGCCGAAATACCTTCGTTAATCGAATAATTTTCTTAACGATTCTGAAATTACTTTTGTTATCTTAAACATCTTTTGATAAGAATAAGAAATTATTTAACAATTTTTTTAAATCCGGTCTCTTATACATCATATTACATGAGAAACCGGATATGTTGAAGCAATGTAAAGTTTTTCCTTGTTTTTTTAATATATACATATAAATATATAAACTTATATTTCGACAAAAGACTCTTCTCTTGGCTGTGATGAAAGTAAATGATGGATATAACATGTTAAGACGTTATCAATAAAAGTAAAGGTGTCTTTATAAGATTTAAAAACAGGGCAGTCAAGATTGAGGTTTCCACGATAAAGTATTATTCATTTCTGCGATAATTGTCAAAGCTTGTATAGTAAAAAAAAAAAGAATTGAAATATTTATAATAATATAATATATTAAGTTTTAAGATTAACAGGACATAAAAAAGATGATCTTACATTAATAATAACGCATAATTGTTAAAAAACTATATATTTAATATAGTTTAAAAGCATCATCATAATGCATCTTATTTTATTGTATTATTTTGTCTTGAACAATTAAGAACGAAAGAAAGAAAAGTTATTTCCAATGAATAATAAAATTTGATTCTGCAAATGTATACAGAGAAATTGATATACAAGAGAATCTGCTTCTATAAGATTAAATTGAAAAAGTTAATTCGTTAATAGAATAAACCAGTTAGGTATATATCTTATCGCATTATAAACTTTTATATGAAAACAGGTGATCTTGGGATAAATAGTATTATTGATGAGATTTGTACGCAATTACAAGTCATAAAGAGAATGAGTATTTAAAAATAAATAAATAAATAAATAATGAAAAATATATCATACATAGAAATTAGATAAACATTTGTAAGCTCAGAGCATAGTTCATCTATTGTTAATTATTTACTTTTAGCTATTAAAATATATATTTTAGCGCGACAAACACATCCTACTCTATCGGATTGTGCTTAAATGAAATAAAAAATAACGTATCCAATATTATACACTATTATTTTAAATCACTTTAATATATAAATATGTACATTTAATTTTAATCATCATGCAATGGTTTAGATCACTTCAACGAGAACGTATCTTTAGAAAAGTGTATTGCAACAAAACAAACACTTCTCTTCTTTTTCTTATTAGAGTGCAATTATTAAATATTTAAAATTCAAATCCTTTGTATAATAATCGTCATAATTAAGAAGAAAGAAAGAAACAAAAATTATTTTAACGTATTCGATTTGCTCACGTTCATTATAAATTATTTATTTACATATACAAATTTTAAGAGCAGTGATTTATGTATCACGTAAATACATCACCTAAATATTATTATTATTATTATTATTACTTGCAACTGCGAAATAAAGATATTCTCAGCAAGTAATTAATTGTTATTATTACATAGATGATATCGTAACTTGTAATATTTGATTAAATTATGTGAAAATGAAAGAACAAGAAATTTGTATTTGATACACGCGTAGCACATTACGTTGGTATATATGCATGTGTGTAATTAAGTATATATAATAAATGGCAGAGGATTTAAACTCTTTCCGGAATCACCGGAATTTGTTTCTCTGCCAACATGGTCTGACAAATGTAATCACATACATACATACATACATACTATATTCATAAATCAAGGTCTTTCCGGTTAACGGGTAGAAAAATAAAATTAAAATAAATTACACGGGTTTACAATAAAAACTCTAAATACGATTTATTATAATTATTTTTGGGACTGTTATAATCCGGCCATTAATATATTTCTTCGAGTATAAAAAAAAAACTATATTGTATCGTGTTGTTATCGTCAAATTCGTTTACGATGCCTTGCTTTTAAAAACGTTGTCAAATTTTTTCGTCTTTTTTTTTAACGAGGGGTTAACTAGATTTACGTCATTAAGAATTTTTATTATATTTCTTTAGTCGGTTTTTTCTGACCTCACTTTTAATGCAGTAAGTTTAATCTTCGAAGAAGTGCATTCTTTCGCAACGTTGTCGCTAAATGTTTAAACGATAAAATATATTTCAAAATAATTAAACATAAAAGTAAACAAGAAATGCCTCTTTGCGCAAGAACGCACGCTTAACTTATTGTTTCTGTATTTTACAAAATCAAATATTTTCGTTCGGTTATTTTAAACAATATTTCCATTTATAGCAAATATAAAAAAAAAAAGTAATTACGTATTTCAGATAATAGAAAAAGCGAGTCTTCTTCTTCTTCTTTTTTAGTAATTGCACTCGTACGATTCGCAGTTATATAGTGAAGGTACATTGACGTATTATCGGAACGAGGGTTATCGTGCCGGACGATAAACAAATTGACCCAAGAAATTTTAAGAAAAAAATGGATAAAAGGACGGTGGATCATCATTGTGATAATAACGGGGCAGACGACCGAACGATTAAAAATCAACGAAAGGCACGTGACCGAATAAAACGTCATTGCGAACACATTGAGGAAAAGAGATCATCGTTATTTCTTTCTCAATATACTGGGTTATCTTACTAAATGGGAAATATCGTAATAGTGGATTCAAACCAAATAGTTAATACCAAGTTATGGTCTTCATTTTATTATAAAATTAAATTAAGATAGTTAAAATTACATAAATTGTTCAAACACTGAACACCTTTAATTTGAGTATAAGCTTTAATCATAGATTGCTGAATTTTTTAAACCATTTCCTATTATTTTAGATATTCTCGCAAGTATTATGCTATTCATAAAGCAAGCTGTTATTATATTTAACTTTTGTATCCTGAATCCACCACAATGCAATACTTCTTATTTATTAAGAAAATCCTTACATATACAGAGTGAATCTCTTTAAATCATGAATTTATTTTTTTTTTTTTTTTTTCAAAGATTGTTCCAAAAATGTAAATATTACTTTATCCGAAGTTCGCTTTGTTCTATTTTACGATTCTAATAAAACAAAGAGGAAGAGAGACAAATTAATCTACAACGAATTGATGATATTTTTCTAAGGAAATGGATTATCAGCATTACGTTAAATGCAGCAAACAGCTGCAGACGAGTGAAAGGGCATGCGATAAAAGGATTTCTATGGAATTGACGGAAGAAGAGGAATACGAAGAAGATGAAGAAGAGGAAGAAGAAGAAGAAGAGGGCAAAGAAAAAAAGAAGAAGATGGTATCATCAAATCATCACGCAAATCCAGAGATTAAAACAGAGACGAGACTTGGTCTGTGCTCTGTTTGTCATCTCAGTCTAACTGGGAAAACTACAGACGAGACGAATGTTGCTTTAAAACGAACATCTATTTCTTTCCAAGGACATCTCTTGTGTCGTCGTTGCATAGAACACTATTCCTTTCAATCAGGTCAACGCCACGTAAACGCAGATATCTTTAATTTCGTTGTCCTCTCTTTTCTGATATGCACTTATCTCTTCTTCTTTTTTTTTATCTCTTCCCACGCTCAACTATCCTTATTATATTTGTAAGTTAAAGTATCAAGTGCCGCTACGTCGGTGGCACTGATAATCAAATATTTTCCTTTTATAAACATACTTGCACAATCCAGTGAAAACCAATTACAACAACGACAAGAACAATTTGTAAAATACGACATGAATTATAGTAAATTCAAGAATTTACAATAACAACCTGTGTCTCTACAGAAGGACATAAAATGATGGACTCTACCTATCCTGATAATTGCAATGTCGAACAAAATGATGCCAAATATTATCAGCAACAAAGTTACTTTAACTTGTTACGGAAAGATGACCGAGATCACTACGGTTCTGAATTAAAATTCAATGTACAAACTACCTGGGAATGTTCTCGTAGACCAATACGCTGTCCTCGCGTCGATTGTTCCGTTAACGTTGCTTTTTCGGCATTAACGCATCATTTCCTTTTCGATCATCCGGAAGTACCTATTCTGAGCGTCGATCCTGGGCTGAAAAGTACATTGATCGTTGGTTTCTCAGCACTTTCTTATAACACCAGTCGATGTTTAGCTCTTCTACTGGTATCTGGTAAATTATCGTGAGTATTATAATTATCATCATGAACTAATCGATTTTAATAAATCATGAATTCGACTCAATTCGTTAGAATTTATCTCTAACATGAATTTTTATTTGATTGCAAGAGACTCTGCTGCACGATTGTTCAATAGTAACCAGATCAATCCTAAATATCGGAATCGTCTACCACTTCCACTATTAGCTGCTCGTTTACACCCCACAAATAGTTATTCATTTTCCAATGAAGTTTATGCTAGTGGAGAAGGTCAATGCGAAAGGAATATAATAATCGTCTGGATCGCGGGATTGGATATCGGAAATGCTGCAGATATTCTCCGATATACTATTCAAGTACGTTAACCTATATATTCATTTTTTAAGATATCAAATTCGTGTCAACATGCTAAAAGAAAGGTTTTTAAACAGGTCGTAGATAATATCGATAACGAAAGTTTTCGATCGTTAACATTTACGGGTCCAATAAATTCACTGAGGACTGCACAACGTCCCCAAGAAGTTTTCTTTAAAGGTGATTGTATCGTTCTTCACGAAGGTTTGATCGGTCATATTACTTCTGGCTGCACCAATCTCAACTTAAACGTTATCATACATTAGTCACGTTTTCGATAATCGGAGAATATTTTATGTTGATAATTTGACGCAAATCATTAACGAGAAAATACTCGTTTGCGATATTAGATTATTATGAAAAATGGTAAAAGAAAAATATGATTTAACAAGAAAACCATATATATATATATAGAAATATTCTATTAGTATAATATATATATATATATATATAAAAATGGAAATAGAAAATTGCTATATGTATCACAAGCTGGTCATAGCAGGAGGACGAGCATATGCCTTAGGAATAAAACCATATTTCCGAGTTTTGGGTGCATATGCCCAAAGCCAACCATCAACCGTTTGATTCCCCAAATCTGCATATATCCAGTCGGCTCTTCTTACTGATAGATCATCTGGCGCCTGCGCCTTATAATCGTAGAGTACTACTAATTCGGTGCCAGGAGTTTCTTCTCTGAAGTCTCGTAAACTTTTCTGTTGTAATTGTTCGCTTCCCGTTATATTTCCATTGCCAGTCTCTTTTAAAACAAATGTCATATTATTAGGTTTTTAAATACTCATTCGTGCAACCTAAATATATGTTTTATGATACGATAATTTTATATATAATCATTTTTGTTTATCACAATTTTAATAAATAAATATATTTGTCATAAGTTGTTACTTTATATGTATTAAGGATATAAACTACAAACCTAATGTATGCGTTTCGGCTGAAGTTGCTGTCGTTGCAGCGGTACCTGTTGTTGCATACGAATGAAGTACATGTCCTGGATAAACGAATCCAGATGGTACAAATCCTTCGTTACCGTCGCAATGTCGAAGCACCCAAAACCAATCAGGGTCGTCTCTATTTAGCACAGTTACGAATTCTCCTCTTTCAACACTTACGTCGTTTTCATCTCGTGCGACAAATGTATATAACACAATATATCTTCCAGCTGAAGGATCCTTTAAATGAAATGAAAAATAACTTAATATTTATATATATATATATTAGTTTAATTAATTGAAGAGTTATCATGTTAAATTAATTATACCTTGAAAAAGGGATGCACATCTGGTTGAGACGATATTGTTTGTATAGAATTTTGCGATTGAGTAATATTAGATCGATTAACATTAATATCAGCGGTTACAACATTGCGAGTATAGCTTTCACAATCTGATGCTGACCCTGTATCAGTTTGTGGTGCATCCAATGCTTGAGAGCGACCCGTACTGGAGATATCACCGTCACCCTCATTGGATCTAGGCAACTTTTTTTTAACATTATTCATAAGAGTAGCAAGCGTCAATTCAGCTAATTGCGATGTATAAGGTGCACAGTAAGAATGTGGCACAAATCCTTCCATACGCGTATCCGCTGCTATTACATATACCCAGTCATTTTCTCTATATAATACATTTACAACCTAAATTGAATGAAAAGAAAAAACAAATGAAATATTAAGCTCAAAGAGTCAATTTAAAAAAATAATACAATGTAAAATAATCTAACCTGTCCTCTTTTGACCTGCAACTCGTCATCGACACATGGTGTAAAGTCATGAACGATAACCATTTTACTATCCGGAGAAAGTCCATTTTCCTTTTCTATCCCAACTCTCACTAAAGTTTCTATGCTTGCACTGCCAGTTATACGACCAGGTGGTAATGGCGCTCTGGTTCCTGTACCGAGTCCTGTACCTCCTGTGCCAACACAGTCCTTTTCCAAATTGAAGTTATGAATTCCAGCTATACAAATATACAAATTAAAATACATTAGTCTTTAAAAATACATACAGCGTTAAAAAAATTTCTAATCAATTATTTCTTCTACAGAATAAAATATTAAATTAAATTATAAAATATCATGAATCAAGACTATATATAGCTGCAAACAAATTATTTCAAGAAATATTTGGTTAAATTCAAGAACAATATAATTGTTACAAGTGCAACAGATGAGAACCCCATACCTGGTACCTCAAAATTCATATATATTCTTAAAAAAGAAGAAAGAACATTTTATTTTTCTTACAACTTACGTTTTTTTTTCTTCCCTCGGCGTATACGAACTGGACACAAGAAAGCCATATCCTTCTCTACGTAGACCCGGAACTCGACAAAAATTACATTTCCAAATTAACTTCGATTATTAATTAGCATTAATTTCATGGAACCAGCATTGGATAGACCAAAGCGGACATTGATCTCTTTCTCTTTTCCTTGAATATTAATCTTCTTTTTTTTTTCTTCTTCTTCTTCTTTTTTATCCCTTTTTTTTACGTGAAGAGTTCGCTGCGATAAATATTAATGAGATAAAAAAATCAACATTTAATATCTTTATTTTAGCTCCCCTCTCATCACCGGTGATCGAAGTTAACGAGTCAAACGTGAACAAAAGAAAAGTAATGAAAATCGATGAAATTTCAGAAATAATTAATAATCCGACAAAAATACCTGACAGCGTTTTAATGTTTTAAAATAGAAATTGTAGAGAAAGCGTGCAACGCGACACCTGCGACGACTGTGTGTTTGACTTGCGTATCCCCCTGTCCTGTTCCCACTACTACTCTACCCTGTCCTGTCTTTTCTGACCTCTTCTTCTGATTTTCTCCTGATGAAATCCCATACGTTGGTGGTATGTCCCATAGATAGACGGCGCTTCAGAATCACACGAGTTAGGATTTACCATTGATTTTTCTAGATCCTTTTCAACATTTTCAATCGGTTATATTTTCTATCTCTCTTTCTTTTGTTCTACCATATTCTTAGCATATTCTTATAAGTGCATTGTCCTTGATTTTTGTCAATTTTGAACAATTAAAGGAAGGCCTTTTTTTTTATCATTAATTCTTTTTCTTTTTTTTACAATTACATATCTTGAGTCTAATACCAATGTATGATTATAAAAAGGACTTCAATTTTGATAAATTATTATTATTATTATTACGGTAACAGAGGAAGAACTTTTCTCTCATATTATCGAAATTGTATTTTATTTTTTCAATTAACATAAAATTGGCGAAGATAAGATTGGTTTTGGTTTGTTTGTTTTTTTTTCCCCCCCTATAACAGTTCTTCACGTTTTACATTTAAAAGATTCGCAATCGTGTATTTGTATGTTGTGTGGTATGTATAATATGTGATCTACGTGTGTCACATACGTCATGAATTAATCGATCTGTAGATCATCAATTTATACAGGATGCTCTTTAATTGATGGTATAATGAAAAAGTAAGCTGAAAATGTAGAATCAAATTTGTTTATAGAAGCCTTTGTTTTTGAAAGAAGTGAGTTTGAAAATTTATCGAATACACATATATTTGACCGAGTTTGTAACCCTTGTTCCTGCAACCCAAAAGCCTTGTTCGATAAGTATAATAATACTAAAACAAGAAATTGTAAATATATTAAGAAGAGCAAAAATACTCTTCAAAATATCCGAGAATAAAATAGTAAAATCCATCGAGCAGAAACTGAATCAAGTACACATTTACACAACAAATTTTCAAATTTATTTTTCTCAAAAACAAAGAATCACTCCCTGCTTGCTTTTATCACCAGTTACAAGCATTCTGTGCATATGCATAGATGTAGAGTGCATATTCATATGTATGTATGTATGTATATATATATTGAAAACTGATTTTCTTGTTTGTCTCTCGAGTGTGAAACACACAACACCCATGTATGAGTGAGTAAACGAATTTGATAACTTTATATAAAATCGTTGGATTTGCGTCACCTTGTAATTATTGTGTATCGATAAATTTTCTATCGAAATACAAATGCGATAAGAGGGACTCTGCAGATTCCTATAATATGCACTATAATAATCATTCTTCCCCCACATTAAAGTGTTATCAAAATTCTTATTGGCTATGTATGAGGATATATAATAAACTACTAAAAATTGATCTTTCGTTTTTCGAGGTATACAAAGATTCGAATGAGAAGTAAAATTTTGTACTTTTACTTTGCACTTTGTCGTATATAATGACATTCTTTGTTTCTTAAGAATATTATTATTATTATCTATTTAAAAATTTTATGTCGTGAATTGTGTTATTAATCTAAATAATCTATTTATTTAATTGCTACTCTTATAGTTTGAAAAAAAGAAATGTAACGCTTATTTATTATAAATCTGATTCACTCTTTATTGAAAAAAATAAATAAGTTATAACCAAAGAAAATAAACTATTGACAATGTCCCTACTTCCTCCAACATCATTTAATATTTCGTCTTTACTCGATTGCATGTAAGAAAGAGAAAAATGTAGACGCAAGGCGCATGGTTGGGTTTATAAATTAATAGAATATATATAACTTAAATTTTTAAGTTAATTAAATCACTGGTAAATACATTAAACAGGATGTGTCGAGCACATCCACAGAGATTTATACGGGGTCACGATCAGTTTTAAAAGTATGTAATAATGTAGTAAAAAACTTATTGTGTAGTTACAGACCGCTGCCAATAATACGTTTGCACATTAAGTAATAACAATTGCTTATATATCGCATAAAACAGATAACATTTCACAATAATGCTACATCACGTCGCTGTGATTAATGTGAAAAATCTAAACTGTGTTTACAGTATCACAGTTTTTCTTTTACTGTAATACATACTACAGTGCGTAATTTGGCTACTAATTATTGCATAGAAAGAGTTCACATTGCAAATACCTTAATTTCATCTATTCAGTAGTTTATCTTCTTTAATATTATATACTTATAGTATAGATCGCAACAAATAGCTTATATTTTATGTTTTGAATACTATATTAAACATATAACAACAACAAAGATAATAATTTTCACGCAACTATCATCATAAACAATTTTTTCTTTTCCATAGACTTAGAGTTCAATGATCCTGAATAAGAAGAATGGAATATTAATTCAATAAACGAAATACATAGTACTCTCTCTCTCTCTCTCTCTTTTTTTTTTCTTTCTCTCTCTTCCTCTCTCTCTCTCTTTCTCTCTCTCTCTTCCTCTCTCTCACTTATACGCATTTCATTTAATATAATGCACAAATTTTAATAAAAGCAAGCATCATAGATATTGCATTTATTTATAATATATTTCCATTTGAAAATTAAAATACACTTTATGTCATGGCAGTTACATGATTTTAATGAAACTGTTCATATACATATTCCTCAAATGTACTCAAAATCGAGTTTTATATATGATTTGTATTATGTATTTATTATTCATGTCGTATTCTAGGTAACTATGATAAACTGAGCGTGTATGAAAAATGTAGACTATTTATGTTCTTTATCGTATATATATATAAGTGAGATTTCTTATAATATTGTAATAATATAATGTAGCTTATGTATAATATATGTATATTGACCAAATGTTATATAAGATGCGATAATGAATAGAACTATTCTATATTTTCGATTGTAATGTATAATGTCATATTAGAGTGCTTTGAAAATCTATCATTTCTTTTTTCTTTTTTTTTTCTTTTTCTTTTCACTAGACAGAGAAAAATTGGTGAGATCATTTCGAGTTATATGATTTGGAAAAAGTAAATATTTATCTAATGTTTAGTGAGATTTTGATGTAATAGCGCATTGATAATAATTATGTACGTAGGTATGTAATTATAAATATGAGAACAGTTATGGAGATATATGAAAAAGATTCTTGTACGGTAAATATGTTGATGTAATTTATTAGATCATAACATTTTCATGAGAGATCTTCGAAGCAGTCTCCACAGGATTGTATATACGTAAATGGCATACGAATATTGGAAACTGTTTATTTTGTCTGCTATATTAGATAAATTTAAATATGATAAGATTTGTCAAGCCTAATGATAATCGACAGATTATATAATGCATATCCAGTGATGGGAAGTATATGATGAACACAAGTACGTAAAAGATATATCATACCAAGGTATATTTTACTTCGTTTGTACTTGTGTATAAATATTACATTTGGTAAATTACGATATAAAATGAATCGAGTCGTTCACGTACGTATAAATTGTTAATGTACTTTTGCATACTACTTTTCTTTCTTTTCTTTTAACGCATTTAACAAATAGATAAGATCTATTATATACGGCACGTAACATAGAGAATAAACTAGATAACGTTATATGCATTGAACATGAAGATGTGTGTGTGTGTGTGTGTGTGTGTATGTATGAATCATGTAAAAGTTTCCTACATACAATGTAAGTATATACATACATATCTAGATAATTTTCTATTCGTATGTCTAATATCACCTAGGTACGTCTTTAATCTAGTACCATATACTTTCTATCTAGAAACTTTAAAAAAAAGCATCCCTCCCATCACTGTATAGAATTTATAATTATATAGTACAGTTTGGCTCAATGAATGGGACATACCTTTCTCGTAAAGATGTTCCTTTCTTTTTATTATTATTATTATTATTATTATTATTATTATTATTATTATTATTATTATTATTGTTATTATTATTGTTATTATAATTTCATATTTATTTTTTAATGATTTGCCAATATCGATTGTATTGTTTCAGCAAACTACTCGTGTGTTGAGTTTTCGCGAGTCGAAAATAGTAACTCGTAGTAAAAAGTCTGTTTTAAACAGATTTCTTTATCGTCGTTTTTTCTTTTATGCATCAAATATAAAGTAAAATGATATGTATATACAATACTCCAAATAAATACCAATATGTATCAAAAGCTTAGGCAATATATTTTAGCAATTTTGGATTGCACATAAAATTAATCGATCTCGTATGTTCTCGTTCGTTCTTGATCTCTCTTTTCTTTTCTATATACTCCTTCCCCCTTTCCTCTCTATGTATGTATTATTTTTAAATGAATATTATATGAGATATAGAAGTAGAAAGGGTAACAAATCTACATCACATATAAATATTATTTTGGCATAAAATAGATCGATTTTAATCTAATTTTTTGTTATCCTTTTAAAAAGAGAAAATTCATAAAGTAATAACGTGTTGCGATTTGGAGAAGAGGATAATAGCCATCTTGAATAATTAATCAGAAAATAAAAAACTCTGTGATGTATTTCTTTTATTTATAGCTTTTAAGGTGTGTGTGTGTTTGTTTTTTCTTCATCTTTTGGTATTGAAAAATATCAATGATCCCCTAACTATAGTGTGAAATCATTGTTTATGTAAAAATGTTAGATAATTCAGCCTTTCCATACTAAAAAAAAAAAAGATATTGTGATCTCGCGCTCTCAAGATTTTTCAACTAAAACATACCCAATGACGTGTTTTATTATTATGACATATCACGAGCTGCTGGAACACACCTAGGTCCATGCTTAGAGCATTCCTAGCGTAACAATACAGCACCTAGGTTTTTTGTACTTTTTAATATTTCGCATATAATAGAGTTATATTTTATACTAACATAGACTTATAATGAGACAATATATATTTACATTATGCAAACATGACTATAAGAAGTTTGTGGAAATCGTTTTAATTTCTTTCGTATGTTCGCTCGATCAAACATAAACGATCATAAACAATTTCTTCTTTTTTTCTTTCTTTCTTTCTCTCTCTCTCTCTCTCTCTCTCTCTCTCTTTCCGAATTTTTATTACTTATTTCATGCATCCTTAATATGCAGAAAATATTTTATTTGTAATAATCATATTATTCGTTATACGCGAGCGTTGGTAAACTATTTTTCAAACGTATTCTTTCTTTACCTTGCTTTTTTTTTTTCTTTCTTTTTTCATATAATACAATATCTACATTGAATTATAATTAAAATTCGAAAATAAAGTATACTTACATTAAAAATTTCAAATTAAACATAACAATAGCAAAGGCTTCTCGCATATCACATAAACTAGACAATTTTTAAATCGTTTTGTTTAGAATCATATTATTGTATATCTAAATACTAAATTGAATATAAGAATGCGCTCATCTGGCCGAATGACAAGCGTCTTCAATAATTATTTCTATAAGGATCGATTTCTAATTATTACTAACCGATTGGACTGCCGATTCGGGCTCATTATCGTTCGAACGCAAAGAAACATCGATTTCTTCGGTGCCTTCTGTACTATCCGCAACACTCGCGTTTCCTACTTCTTCTTTTTTGACACTGTCATTGGTTGATTGTAAATGTTGTATTAGAAGTTGACTGCGTAGCCTAGAGATTTTTCGAGCATCCGATCGACGATGTCGTCTTAACTGTGCGTTTTCGGAAGCTAGACGACGAACTAGCTCCAATATATCCTGCGGAACGTCAAGTGCAATCAGTCGTTCCTCCAAATCCATGGCTGTAGTTCCTTCAGAATCCGAATCACTTTCGGGGGACGACGTGCCCACTTCGACCGCCGGCGGATCAATGCTTACGGTCGACGAAGTTACTGCAGCACTTTCCTCTTCTTCCCCAACTTTCTCCTCGACAATTGTTCTTTTTTCTTGAGATATCTCCTTTCGATCGTTCTCCACCGTACATGTAGGGAAAATAGGATAAGAGGAGGTGGTTCCACTACCACCCCCGGAAGAAGCAGGTCCAGGAGACGATTTTTCGAGTTTAACTGCAAACTCTTGTTTCGGTACGAGCTCCTGTTGCTTTTCATTTGGACTTTGCGGACATTGACTATGATGACGGTGCTCTTGGTGGTGTCGTTGATGATGAACAGGAGGTACTATAGGTGGTATCGCAGGTGTTGGTATCGGTGCCAATGCAACATTTGGTTGAAAATGTGGCTCAAATCTTTCACACTCAGATAATGGCACTACACGTTCTGGATGTTGTAGTACTGGTGGACCACGACTGAGATAGGAAGGTACCATGGAAGAGCTGTAGATGGAAAATACAAGAAAGATGTAGAACCATGATGAAAAGCTTTCTTTAATGGACATCCTCTCTTTCTCAATTAACTAATTTACCTGTCTCTATGTTTACGAGAAGCAGAGGCATTCCAAGGCCTAAACGCGGATACTCCTCTGGTAGCTAATTCAAACACTGCCCATTGCATCTGAAAATATGGATCCGTCGTGCTAGCCACCGAAGATACCGGATGATAAATACCTAATCCATTTCCATTGTAGATGGTAGCGCATTCATCTTTGCCCATTTCCTTCTTCGCTCTTTTTATCAACTTTTCTGGCTCATGCCTTAACTGCAATATAAAATGTCTTCAAAAATATGTAAAAGAAATATTGAATTAGAGTGAATAGTAATTTGCCTTGACATTGATTCTTTAAAGGGTGATATTACACACAGATTGAAGTCATCAGCGGTATTAGTATTTTTCAAGAAATTTATCATCATATCGGACACAGGAATCTTTAAGCGATTATGAGATGAGCTTAACTATGATGATCCTAGAAAGATAATCTTTACTTTGTTTGTCTAAATATAATCCGATTAAAATGAAAAAGATAACCGTGAGATAAAATTCAAGTGTTTTTTTTATCAAATCATTATCATATTTATAAAATAAGTTGTTTTTAAAGAAGCACCAATAAGCAAAGAGAGATACAGACAAAGAAAATAATAAAATATAAAAATACCTCCAGTTTCCGCTTAGAGTTAAGTACAAGATGTTTCTCTTTAAGCTCTTGAAAGACAGCGAGCAGCTTGTTGTAGTTTTGTTGATCTCTAGAAAGTAGAAGATAAGAACGCCAGTTAGCAGAGTCGAAGCCCCAATGACAGGTACGGTTTTCCAGGGACCTATGAGCGTGTCTGACAAAACGTTGGGGAGAGAATTGGCAGCCACATTCGAGACACTCTATGCACACAGAATCCTCGGATTCGAAGAGATCGGCGTCGAAGATACCCTTGCACTTTCCAAAACACTCATGATATACTTTGAACCTAATGATAGAGTCATCCTCGGTGGTGGCCTTACCACCGCAGACTTTCTTATCAATGCTATCTTGACTTTGTAATAGGTGAGAAGGCTCGCATGGTTCTGTCCTCGATAGGAGAGCACTGACGAGCCTCTCGGCGTCGGTTTGAGTGATCAGACCGCACGACGGCGCGTTACGCGGCAAAATACCGGAAAGTTTAAGTTCCTCCAATTGATCTCGTGTACTTCTCGAACAATAAATTTGCAATTCGTCGCATACCTGATGGATTTGTTGTAAAGAAAAATCTTGTAGAACGGTGTTCAATACCTGCGGCAAACATAACCTCCTTTCGCCACCAACGACGAAACAAGATATACTTTCGCCCTCGAGCACGGTCTCGCACCTTTCGGAACAATTCTGATCGGGAGCGGTAAGAATGGGTATTTGAAACTCGAGATCTCTTTTCTCGCAAGCGACCTTAGGACGATCAGGAGGTGCTGGATCCTCGTCGGAGTCATCCAACGGCCGATCAAAGTTCGTCCGCCTGAGCCTGGAAGGAAGGCTGTTGTTGTTGATCGGCGGTGGTGGAACCGGTCCTTGGTCATTGCCTTTGTCGATGTCTTTAGGCGAGGTAAGTTCGGTTATTCGGTCAATTAGACGTTCGGCGGCGATGCAATTTCCGGAACGACCCGGTGCTACTGAGAAATGAAAGGGCGGTTGTTCTTGCAACAGAGTCTTACAGTCCATGCCCAAAAGGGCCGAGCTCGGACCTTGTAGGCTCTTCACAGCCGATAGCTGATATGTTTTCAAGACGGTTTTCAACTGTGGACTGTAAGATTGACCGTTTGTATTGCCGGGTAATAATGTCTCCATTATTCGAGAATTTGTTTCCCTGATCTTGGTGGTTGTCGTCGTCGCCGTCGTCGTCGTCGTCGTCGTCGTCGTCGTCGTCGTCGTCGTCGTCGTCGTCGTCGTTATTGTTGTTGTTTGATGCTTTTAGTATTTTCGTAGTATTTTACTACTCTCTCGTAGAGATGTTGTTGATGATATTTTTGTTATTGTCGTTGTAATGATCGTGTTGTTTTGTCGCGAAACGGCAGTAAGACGGGCGAGGACCTCGAACGGCCTCCTCGCGATCGCGTCTTACGATCGCGTCTTACAATTGCACACACGCGAAATCTGCGACGCGCGAAATGCCTCCTCTCGACACCTATCTTTCTCCTTCTCGTTGCTTACCGCCACCCCTGCCCCTCGCCCTCCACCCACCACCACCGCTGCTACCACCACCACCACCACACTACTACACTACCTTACTACCTACACTACACTACACTACACTACTATTATACTTCTCTCTCTTTCTCTTTTTCTTTTCCTACTCTCGCTCTCGCTCTCGCTCTCGCTCTCTCTCTCTCTCTCTCTCCTCTCTCTTTCTCTCTCAGTCTCGTTCGCTCTTTCTTTCTCTTCTTATTCTTCGAGTTCACTCGACGGCATTCGTGGCAGTAGCGTAATCGCGTACGGGACTGTGTCCGCGATCAACGTGAACACAACGAGGTCGATGTAGTAGAACGTTGTTGCTGGTGCGTCGTCCATCTCTCGTGGACGAACGACGACGACGACATCCAACGAGTCCTCTGCTTCTTAAGCCCCTTGCACGCGAATCGTACCTCTTTGCTTGCTTCTCTCTCTCTATCACTCTTTCTCGCTCGCTGCTTGTGCGTGCGTGCGTACTATCTTTCTTTCTCTTTCTTTCTTTCTCGTGGAGCTAGCTGGCGCGCGCGCGCGCCCGCCTCTACGTGCCTCTCTTCCTCAAGTCTGTCCGTCCTTCTCGATCGGCATTATTATGTTCAACGAAGGGTAAGCGGTGGCGGCGACGACGACGACGACGACGACGACAACGGCGGCAATCCACCGTAACGTCGCGGTGTTCATAAACATGATAATATTCGCGCACGCACTACCGAGGCGTAAGAAGACTCGTACAACCGACAACGACACTACGATGACGACTATGATAATGAGGATGACGATAACAAAACGACGGTGAATAATGACTACCACAACGACAACGAGGAAGGCAGTAGGGACATGGACGAATGAATAGCCACCATTCGAAATTCACTATTACCACTATCAGCACTATTAGCCGTCGTCTTCTTTATTATTTCTGTCAATTACTACACGAGACACAGGGGACAAAAGCATATCGATGGCACACGATGCACATTACTGAGAATGAGAGAGAGAGGGAGCGGGAGAGGAAGAGGGAGAGGGAGAGAGAGAGAGAGAGAGAGAGGAGAGGGGAGGAAAAAACTTGATTCGATGACGGGGAATAAACGCCCTCGTACGATTTCGCCAAGGTTTTCCTTGACGAATAGTAGAGAGTAGAGCACACTGTGATCACGAACGTCGTCGGCCGTCGTTGGATTGTGCTTTTAGGAACCACCGGGTTCTTATCGAATGAGAGAAGTCGGCGACAGAGAAATGACACATGTCTGTCCGTCCTCTTGCCTGTTTGCCTGCTTGTTTGCCCACCCGTTCGTTCTTTCCTTCCTTCCTTCCTTCGTTCGTTCGTCCGTCCGTCCTCCTCCTCCTCCGTCTGTCTTCCGTCTGGTCGTCCGTCTGTCTCTCCTCCTATTGCTCCCACTACCACCCTCTTTGTCTCTTTCTCAGCCACCGACACTCCCCCGTAGATTTCGCTCTCTATCTAATCTATCTATCTCCCTCTCTCTCTCTCTCTCTCTCTCTCTCTCTCTCTCTCTCTCTCCCGCGTGCGTCGCGAGCCCGTCGTCGCTATCGCTCTATCTCCTTTCGATTCACAATCTTCCACTATCTATTCCTCCGATCCTCCCCTCTTCCTCTTTCCCTCTCCCTCGCTTCCTTGTATCCCCCTACAGCAGTAGCAGCAGCAGCAGCAGTCCGGCTCGGTTGCGCTACGCTTCTTCCCGTCTACGTTCCATCACCACCGTGGCCGCTTTGCTCGCAAGAAGACCGATGCGTAGCCCTCGTTTTGCGCACACCGTTGTTTTTCACACTCCTCGCCTGCTTCTCCTCTTCCTCTTGCTGTCTCCTCCAACCTTGTTGTCAATGTCGCCACCGTTGCAGTTCTCACCGTTAGCATTACGAACGCAAACGTATATACTTACACTTACAACTACTACTACGTACCGGTACCATAGTATATCGTATTTTCATACGACTATACGACCGGTCGGTCGATCGGTCGGTCGGTCGCTCGGTCGGTCGGTCGTTCAGTCGTTAACGCAATTGGCAATCAGCAAACGCAAAGCGATGACGATGACGACGACGACGACGACGACGACCGTGCTCGCACACAAACATAAAAAGCAAAGGAATATTATTCGGCGCAACCGACGCTCTCTGCCACCGTTGACGATCGACTTGCGACTCGGCGCGACGCCTCTAACCCCTCCCCCCTACCCCCGTCTTCTCTTTTCACCTCCCCTTCCACCTGCATGTCCTGGTCATTCGCGCCTCGCCGATGTCGTCGTCGTCGTCCTGTCCTCTTTTTGACTTTTCTTCGTCCCCTTATACCCTCCCCTGCTATCGTCGTTGCCGACGACGACGATGGATATTATCGTGTCGTCGGTCCGACGATCGACATCGTTCACCAATGTAATACGATTTACTTGTTTCTACGTCGAAACGATGTCGACGACGTCAACGCGCCAACTTATCGATCGTACGCGCTCTTTCTCTCTCCCTCTCTCTTTAACTAATGTAAGTCGAACGCGTTTTTATTCTTTCACGATTCCCTTGCAATGCGAAAGATAGAGAGAGAAAAGAAAAGCGTTGAAACGCAATTTCCTACCTATTTATTACCGTAAACGGTAATATTTATTGTATGCTTTGCAAAATACAACAACGTAATAGATAGTAGTAGTATTAAGCGTCTAGGGGATCTCGAAGGAGCCGACCCAACGTCGCCACCGCTGCGACGTCGTCGTATCCATCGTTTTTTTCTTCCTCTCATTTTCTTGATTGCGCACATGCTCGCTCTTTCCTTTCCTCTTTCTACCGCGCACGCTCACGTAAGGCTACTCGCGTAAACACGAGGTCTCGCGCGCGCGTACGCCGTTCGGAAGAATCCCCGTAATCTTGATGCATCACTCCTTCTCTCTCTTTTTCTCCGTTTCTCGTTCCACCGTCCTTTCGTATCCCTACTATTCGTCGGTGTGCAATCTATCGGGCGCTGTCCTCGTCTCTCGACGAGCGCGTTTCTTTCCTCTTTTCCCTCTACATCTCTTTGGCGGGGGTAACCGGAACGTTCGGTCCTCTTGCCGCACCCTTTCCCTCTTCGACACTCCGGCAGTCTCCCATTCTTTGTGCGCGCGTGTGTGCGAGCTTGACGTCCGACAATGTCTCGCCGCTCGATCGCTAGTTCGTTGATGTTGATGCGAAAGAGGGGCAAGAGGAAGGAGGGATGGGAATTAGGAGCATGGAGAGGGGGAATAACGGCGGCGGTCGGCCGAGCGTCTAGTCATGTGACCTTCCCGTCAAAATAGTTGCGTATATGTGTGTGTATCCCTCTCCCTCTTTCTCTCTCTCTCTTTGTATACGGCTACGTATGTATCTTTGTCGGTCGGCTTCTCTACAAGCAAGCGCGTGCCGCGCCAACTCGACGAACTTCGGACACGCACCTTTCTTCCTACAATCCTTGTCTCCTCGCTCTCTCTTCCTACTATTAAGCTAGCTGGCTAATCATTGTCAGGGACGTCCGAAGGTATTGACTGCTTGTTTCCTTTCTTGCTTCTTCGCTTGCTACTTGCTTAGCTCATTGTCCCGACTTTCTCTCTTTTTTCTCCTTGTTTTAACTTTTGTTATCTTGTTTTTTTCTAGAACACTATAAGATGCTAAGTAAATATTTTTGTTCTTTGTCAATCGGTTATTTTACTTATTTTATCTTTCTTTTTTTAATGATACATATCTTGCGGATCGATAGATTGATCTGTTTATCGAAATTTGTTTATATCCGATACGTAGATTCTTTCATTGAGTTTGGAGAAAAATTTGAAGAGTTATCGGCTGTCTGTTTTACCTACCGTTGCTGATTATCGACGTGGTTCGTAATGTTAGGATGTCGGTAAAGAGGAGAAATTTATTACCAACGGATAGATTTACCGACCGATAGACGTTTAAAGAACATTACTTATCGATCGGATAAAGTACATTTGTCACATTTTTATCGATCTACTTTGACTACGTATCATCTTATTGTGTGTTATCCGCGCAATTTCTAACACGTATGCGACTATGACGAGACGTAACCCTTCTTCGTGACCTCCATCCTCTGAAAGTTTATTATATACATATCTATATATATTTTGATTTATAGTATTAATAAAGCAAACTCCTACGCGATTACTCTTTGCTTTCTTAGCAAAAGAAAAAACAAAAAGAAGATTAGATTGCGTGAAATAGAATAATTGATTAAGGAAGATAATTTAATGGATTAAATAATTAGCGATTGAATGAAACGCTCGCGAAAAGAGATTTTTCAAACGCGATCCTTGATCTTTTCGCAATAGAAAATTTCATTTCTATTTCCCTGAAGCATTGATATTGATTCGAAACACCCACACTTGAGGAGTAATATATTGTAGAAAGATAAAAGACATAAAAGAAAAGAAAAGAAAAGAAAACAAAAGAAAAGAAAGAAAAGAAAAAGAAAGAAAAGAAAGGACGAACGTAACGTTGTAACAGAATTTATTACGTTTCTTGTTAGGGGATTATACATGTTTTTTCGATAAACAGAGTAACTTTGATAAGGATTGGTATATTGATTTAAGCGCTCGGAAGGTGGCAGCGCGACACAATTATACGGTGTTTCAAATAAACTTATTCGTCTCGCGATGCCACCAATTGGATGGCTTTACGGACGTTTGTAACAATCTCCTATTGACGTACTCTTTGTAACGTTTTTTTTTAAATCAAGTTACAGTGCATAGAAACACGCAAAGACTGTCAGTTTTTTTCAAATACTGCACCCCAACAAACTTTTCTTCCTATTTGTCTTTCATTATTTCTTTCGGTTTTTGAATGTACACGTTTGTCGTGATATTTAAATATATACATACATAACAATGATTAATAAAGAATCAACGAATACGTGATCGAAATGTCGCGCGGATTCGTCACGATGCGTGCGCAATTTTAAATGGGTTAAACGAAAAGAAATTTAAGGGGGGGGGGTCGTATTTTTAATATAAATTAATTACACTCTGGTGCTTGTGTTATTTCCAATATTTCTTTACGCTCCGAATGTCGATTA